TTCTCTACATTTACTTGAGGGCCTTTCTATGTTACTTCTTCTTCTGACAAATTGTTGGTTTTCGCTTGTAAGTCTTTGAGTTTGTGTGACAACGGACATACAACATCCGCAAAGTCCCAATCTTCTAGAGTCTTCTTGTCGGTTCAATGTATTCCTGTCTTTTCGCCCTCCCACCCACCCCATCAATCTTCCACATAGTCCAGTCCACCAAAATTAGGAATATCATTGGCAATAATAGACAGTCTTGTCTTACTCCTGCCTTCAATTCAAAGGCTTCGCTGAGTTTTCCGCTGTGGGTTGCTTGACATGTGACACTGTCATATAGATGCTGTTGAATGAGGTTGCAAATTCCATATTAGATAAGTTTATTTGCTATAACACACAGTGGATAGTATCCAGTTATTAATACTGTATCACTGTGTGTTGTTATATCAAATAAATTTATCTAATACGGAACTTATGTATGCATTCTCATTCAGTTACAAAGAATCTACTGATTTTATGAGGTAGGCATACAATTACTTTTCACCAGTGTTATTTGTGTGTCATATAGACTGAAGCATTTGAAAATAGCCACAAACTTAGTCATGTAAAACTCACTGTCAACTTCGAATATTATCAAAAAAAAAATCCTAAAATCTGACGGAATACTTTTTACATGTAAATGCAGTCTTAGTGACAGCATAATAATAATAATAAAACCGATTTTACACAGCCTTCTAAAAAACTGCTTCAGGGATAGACAAACTGATGTCTTTCACGGTTTTGGAATATTTTCTGAATATTAATTGGGCAATAAAATACAAAGCTTTTCTATTGTTTACATTAGGGAAATGATGCATTCCAGTCATTTCAATAATGGCAAACATAAAGAATAGCGACCACAGAGTGCGAACGCACCAATGACCTTGAGGTGACCAATGAGAAAGAGCCCTGTATCTTCATCAAAAAGCCGTTTATTTACGAGAAAAATACATGATGATAATAATAATAAAACACATCAAGGACTATATTTCGCCCCAACCTAACTCAAAATACTTCTCAATTACAATGAAGAGCATCAGTTATCAAGTTTCATATCTACCGAAACGGTTTCACCCATATGAATAACGACGCACTCTCCACCCATTTATTTATTTACAAAGAAATGCAGATAGTAATAATAATAATAATAAAACACCCTAACTGCGATCCTAACCCTATTTTTATTTATTTATTTTATTCCTTTGCGTTCCGAGTGGAACATAAGGCTTCAAACTTGAGCTTTGAAGTTTCAGTAGAGGTGTTAATTTACGGGGTGAAATTGCTGGCCTCACGCCCAACCTCCCCTCTTTATCGGGCTTACAACCGGCCGGGAATCGAACCTCGAACTATATGCATGGTCAGAGAGCATCCTACTGCTGAGCCACCGACGCACTAACCTTAACATGCTATCAGCCCATTATCCAAATAGCACTTAAAAACAAGATCAAGATGAAATTTGCGCACCAAATTATGCACAGCATTCTAACCAGCTTTGTAATAACGGTGGGTTTTGTAATCCCCGAATGGTATGCGTCCAAGGTCACCGGTGCGTTCGCATTCCATGGTCGTTATCCTTTATGCTGGCCAAATTTTGAATACTTCAAGAAAATAGTGCTATTTATTTTGCATAGTGTTTACTAATGTAGAACTGAAAATCGTTTGAGTAATAATTAAGTCAATATCATGTAACTAGTGGGTTATCTCGCAAATGACAATGTGAAGGTGTGGTTTATCAGCCTAGAAGCTGGGTTTCCAATCGCCGGGTCACGTGCTCGAACCTCGTTCCACTTACTGACACGTTTAGGCAACCAGGTAGTCTCACTTAGCCCTCAACATATTAGGCGTTGCTCATTGTCAACTGTATGCAACTGCAAGTGGTTGTTGAGTAACATTTCTCATTTCATTTCACAAATAGCAATAAAGATTTGAAAGTATATGCTTTTGGTATAAAATCTCAAGTTTTCTTCATGAAAAATGAAATATTTACATGAGTTAGAATATTGCGAATGATTTCAGCAAATTTAATTAAGTTAAATAAAAAGTATTTAAAATTGTAACGTTTTAATAAAGAAAGCATAAACGTTTAGGCGTACAGTCGACCACAAAGAATGTAAAATATAGGCGAATATTGTCGCCGGCTTCTTAGTCATGTGGTCGTATACTACAACACAGGCTTATACCTCTTATTGACAACTTTAAAAGTATCTCTTCTGAAGCATCGTGTGGTCAATAGAACAAACATTTATAAAATAATACATCAGATAAGATATTGTGGAGTTGTTTTATGCACATAGGAATACAATTTTCACAGTAACGACGTGAGGGTCTACAACTGTACAATTACATTTAAATCAATTCAGGCAAATGCTACTTAAAAATCAGGGTGTGGTAAAGGTGTACGTCAGAAATCTTTTAGACTTTTTGTTCTAAATAAGTATAGTAAAGTAGTGATTAAAAAGAGGAGTGCACAGAAAGTATATAGGATAGAAACTCCATAGTTTTTCGATGTATTATTATTATTATTGTTCCCTTGGGTTCCTAGTGGAACATAGGGTTTCAACTGCACATCTCCACTTGCTTCTGTCTTCTGCTGTATTTTTCACTTGCATCCATGTTAATCCATACTGTTTCAGTTCCTGTTTACACGATCGCCTCCATGTCACCCTTGGACGTCCCACTCGCCGCTTTCCCTTCGGGTTCCACTCGAGGGCCCGGCGCGCGATGTCAATCAACGGCCTCCTCAGCGAGTGTCCAATCCATCTCCACTTTCTCCTGCATATTTGTTGAGCGATTGGTTCTTGTTTTGTTTGTTCCCATAGTTTCTTGTTGGTGATTCTTTCCGGCCATCTGATCTTCAGTATAGAACGAAGACAGTTGTTGATAAAGGCATCGAAAAACTATGCCATCTGATCTTCAGTATAGTTTTTCGATGTAGTACATTAATACCCTCAATGCGGATTCTGAGTGGAACATAGGGCTTCAACAGCACATCTCCATTTTATCCAACGTATTCCTGCGTTCTCGCTCCACAGAGTCTGCCGCAGAATGCAGTCTACCACAATTTGGAAAACCATCGGTGATATTAGGCAAGCTTGTCTTATTGCCGTCTCCGCTGCAAAGCCTTCACTGAGTTTCCCGCTGTGAATCATTTGATATGTGGTATCACCATATATATGTTGAGTGAAGTTGACAAAGGTTTGGGCACTCCATAGTGTTGAAGCAAATTACAAATCACATCGCGGTCAACACTGTCGAAGATCTTCTCAAAGACGATGAATTTGAGGTAGAGAGTTGACTGCCATTCCATACTCTGCTTAATGATGATGGTGCTGACGCGAAGCGTTTCAATTTGATCCGAACATGATTTGCTTTTTCTGAATTCAGCTTGTTACGGGAGGAGTTTTACACTCAGAGGATCCTTTAGTCTCTCGAGAATGACACAACTTAATAATTTGCTTGGTGTGGACAACAGCATGATTCCTCGCCAGTTCTTGAAGAGGCCTAAGTCGCCCTTCTTTCGTAGTTTGGCAAGGTAGCCTTTCTTCCAAGCCACAAGTGGCTTTCCTTCCTTCTAAACTTTCTGAAATAGTTGTGTGAAGATATCCTTTGAGGTCTCTGGATCTGTTTTCAGTGCTTTCAGAGGAACTCCGTCTGATCCAAGAGGTCTTACTACAGATAACATATCAGATTGAAAAAAGATAATGACCAAGGTTCTGTACGAGATGTTGGCATTTATTTTCTGTAACATTTTAATATACAAACTCGATATAGTATGGACACCAGAAGTAAGCAAATAAATAAGACGAAAATGGATTAACAGACAAACTAGATAAGCGAGCATAGAAGTTTAAATAGATAAACTAAAATAAGTAGTCAGTAATTTTGTTCTACCTTCCCTTAACAGAGGATAAGTAAACTGCTCCAAGCAACTGAGTTAACTGGTCTCTCAACTGATGGTGAGTGAAACTGTGGCGTGTGCTACTGATAAGAGTTTTCAGTAGTATATAAAGAGATGTTCATCGGCATGCAAATGTCAAATAGATGAGAGACAGATTTGACGACAAGGAGAGCAAATGATTCAGCGTTGCGGAAAAATATTGGAGACACGAAAAGAAGACAAAGAAACACAGTACGAAGGGTAGAAGTAGCACAACACGGAAGATCTGTGTAGATGACGATTTGCCGGGTCTCTAGTCTTTTGCCGTTACAACAAAACCATTACCTTACTTTATGGGATCAGTTTATAAAATCACCATCGTAACACTTCCATAAAATAATCGTAAAGCTGGTAAATACGCAGAAAGTCATAAAAGCCGTTTTGGTACTGAATACGGCATATATTCAAACCCCTAAAGTCGGTATTTTAAATTGACTGATTAATGAAATTAATGAATAACGACCTAATTCAACTCTTGATAAGAGTAGATGAACTGCAGAATTACTTATAAGTACAAACATGTACTAGGTAGGCTTTTCTTATATTGGTGTTACTGTATATTCAAAATATGTGCCAAATGAAATCAACCAGTATATATATATATATATATATATATATATGTATATATACTGACAGCAGGACATTATAAATATTTTAATTCATGAACTAACTAAAAAGCCATAGAATTCTGACCCAGTAGCCAAAAATTAACTTGATAGCCAGTACCTCAGAGGGTATTGGACAACACCGTAGAGATTTGTGTGACCACTATTCAGCAGTCTCAAAGGAAGAAACTTCCAAGAAATCAGCGTCGAAGCAAACTTTAAACAAACTAACAAAAACAAATATAATTTATAGAAATATAACAGGACGCTAAGATAGGAACAATTTAGTAGTTCATAATTGCATGTGACATTGAATCTCGTTGATCAAATCGATATCAAACGTTCGACATCGTAAAGTACACATCTGGACGTAAACATACATATATATATATATATATATATATATATATATATATGATAGGCCTTAGACTTACATTGAATAAATTAATATCAGCTACTACTCCTACGAACACGCAGCCGACTATTCCTCCACATTCGTAACTGCTAACAACCAAATTCGCTAAAATTAACAAAAAATTACAGTAAACAAAAGTATAATAGATAAATAAGATTTACAGGACACATTAGGCAACAACTAACAACAAAATGCACTTTTTACAATAGGTTAATTTAAGTAGTAGATTTAACAGAATGAGATGAAAAACAATTTTAGAATCGGTATAAAATAATCAGTTGGAAATTTGTTGCCTATCTGTGACGTTACCAAAAAATATCTTTCTACATTTCTTGCTTTTTTGAGGTGATTGGTAGGGAGACAAAGTTATACCATTCTTCATAATAAGTACTTAATTATTATGGTATATGGACAGTTCTGTAGTACAGTACTTAGTGTTCGATTTTAGAATTATCAGAGGATATTCTGGCACTAAATTTTGTATTCGTATTTACTAAGCGATGTATAGATTTATACGCATTGATTGCAGATTATAGAAAATTTCCTCCCTGGAGAACTTCATATTTCACCTATATCCACAACACCTAAAACCGATTGTGTTGTTATGTAGGATACTAAAGATTACTACTGTAACAACAGAAGACAAGGGCCAGGCAGCAGATTGTTTATTAAGGAAATCAACGCATATTTATATATTGTCCTGTACATTATTATAGACTATTTAAACAAACAAACACAGTCTACTGATCGGTTGTTTCTCACCTAAAGTTAATCTTTCATCTCTTTGTGACTGTTTCTTGAATGTCAGATCATCTATATGTTAACTGTATCCGCCTACGCAAAGTCTGCTGTGGTTGGTTTTTGAATCAGTCTTTGTTCATATTTTCTCACGACCAATATTGAGGACGTAAACATTGATGTAAATTACTGTCTACCAATTTGGCTAGTAGACAACTCTCACCACACTACCACTGACTCTCATCTGAACAAAAGCGTATGCTTCAGAATTATGGTTCTTTTATAGCTTTAAAAGATGGAGTATTACTTGTAAGAGGTATAGTATTTGGTAAGTCCTTGCATTGTATTACAATTGTGAAAGTTGATTTCTGTGTAACTAAAGAAACGTAAGTATTTGTTGACAAGATTATAACAGCTTTCTATAATGAAATAAACAGATACTAATAGTTAGACTCGGTATCTCCATACACAGGATTTTGTACCAGGTTACATGTCACATTTAATGTAAGTGTTAGCGATAACAATTGATCACGTTAGGTGGAGTGGGATGAGATCCCGTGATCTATTGGCATACAAATCTATTACTTACACTCCTGTCAGTATCAGTTAGTCCTCCTTAAGTCACACTTTTGAGTTTCATTTATACAATATTTTAGAATTTTCATTTAGGGACTTGTATTGAAATAAACTTTTGTTTCTCTAAAACGTTATGTAATATTAAACTCTGAATTTCCCCCACAGTTGGCGTTTGAAGCTCATTTATATTGAGATATGTGAAATTCAGGCATGATAAAAAAAGCTGTCCGAACATGACGTTAACATGGCGAATCAACGTCATTACAAAAATATCAACCAATCAAAGATTAACTTTAATAAGCAGACGATTATATAATAAGATAATTATATATACTAAATCGCCTCCATATACACATCTACATGTTGACGACACATATATGCACATATCTACACACACTGTGATTCGATCAGTCTAGCTATATTTTATTGAAAAAAATTGACTGGAATCTATGATATCACAAAACATCAGTTCTGATCAATCAATCAGTCACTCATTCACGAGGCTATCTTGAACTCGTGTATTAAGCCGATAAAAATCAGTTGTTCCTTATCATTCAGACAATAGTTGTGCTTTACATTGGTCACTTTTTGTTGATTACTAAAGTAAATTTATCTTATGTGATGCAAAATTATGCTGAATTCTTATTTTTCTGAAGATAAGATTAAATATCAAAATCTTAAAACTTGACCGTGCGTCGGTGGCACAGCGGTTAGGACGCTCGCCGACCATGCACATGGTCCGGGGTTCAATTCCCGGCCGACGCACTCCTTTACCTCGCTAAGCCAGAAATAAAGCTGGTAAAGAGGAAAGGTTGGGTATGAGGCTAGCAACCCCATCCTGTAAAAATAAACACTGCTACAGAAACTTCAAGCCTCTAGCTTGAAGTCCTATGTTCCACTGGGAACGTGAAGGAATAAAAAACAAAAAAACTTGACCAATAGAATTCATTCTGCACCAACACCGAGGACTAGATGTATGATATCAGTTGCTACGTAGCGTTGAACCAAAGTATCCATTACAGCCTGACAGGAATTCGACTGCAAGTCCAAATAGCTCAGTGGTAACGTGTCTGACTGCAGCAGTGGATAATGCACGTTCGAATCTCAGAAGGGACATGAGTTCCTTCAAGACTGCAGATACGCTTTGCTGACTGGTGAGTGACAACTAGCACGAAACCTAGGTTAGGCGAGGGTTCCTGTGGCCAACCGCCCCCAGCCCCCTAATAACAACAATTCAGAGTGCACCGTGATGGCAACATTGCGAATTTGACTGATAGGATTCAGTCTGCACGAACACAAGGGACTAGACACATGACATTAGTTACCACCTAGTGTTCACAATAAAAAAATCTTAAAACTGGGCAAGAATTAAAACCAAATAAAAAAACTATAGAACTGTTATGCAATAATGAGGAGTTATGAGCAACAGTAGGTGAAGTCCACTATAATTCTTAAAATAATTTCAGCTATATGGTCGAAATTTTCATTACATGTTTCCTAATTTGGTTTTATATGATGAGAGATCTACGAGAATTAAAAATGACAATATCGAATGCTTAGATGGATAAAATTAATCACTTTATGTGCATAACTTACTAGAGATCTTTATTTTACACTAGTAGTGTATAGGAGCTCCGAGATTAGGAAGGAAACAATAATCACCATAAAACGGATATTTGGATTTAACATAATGTTTCGGTGCTTTTCAAATACGATTCCAGGTCAGATGTCCAAGATGAAGCACTGAAAAGTAAGTTCCTACGTTGCTTCGTATACTAAGACAATATTTCGATCCTTAGTCAAACTTTACCAACCTTAGTAGACTCAATCCTACAGTAGGCGAGTTGTAACGTGAATAGCATGTTTAGGTCACTGGTGGAACGTATGTTTCCTGAAGGACGTAGGATATGACTATTTTATGAGCGCTATCAAGAAGGAAAAACATCAATCTAGTTTACTAAACCGAATAATTCGAAATATCTAATATCAAAAATCCACTACAATATTGTTGCTTAGCTAACTCACTAAACACAGTGCAAATGTGATCAATAAGCATCAACTAACAGTTAAAATTTGACAACTACATTGTCTAACACAAAAGACACCTTTGTGTAAATGTCATGAGGACGTGGTTATCAGACTAACTAGATTAGGCTTTAAAATCTACCAAATATGGCCCAGAAGTATTATACTGTCCTTTAAAAGTCTGTTGTACTAATGGGCGTTAATTATTACAGATTTCAACTGGTTGAAATATCCTGAAGACTAGAAACAGAAGCAGCCCACAAACTTATTTTTTTTCCAATCATAGACTATAATTTAAGTTGAAAAAACAAAACAATTCCTTGAGATCAGTACCACAAAACATACCTGTATTTTTAGAGTAAGCATCTTTATTCATTAAAAGCATTACTCCGATCCAATCAGCTAATGCATAGCGTAGAAATGTACTGCACATATGAACAATAGCAGAACTGCCTAACAATAAACGCTGTCTTGGACTTAAAGTTTGAAATAATTTTGAAATTTGATGAATAACAGTCAATTTTACAGGATGCGTTGTTAAACACTTATCATGATTGTCATTGATAGCATTTTTCTTTTCTTCCATTTCTAAAATATCTAAAAAGTAGTAGTGTGGTGAGTGCTACTTATAATCCGATATAAGTAGTATATCAGAAAGCGAATTCAGAAAAGTAACAATATGTTTTGCACACTGGAAAGAAAGAGCAATCAAAGAAGAGAACTATGAGAAGAATGTTGCCATATGATGCAGAATCCAAGAAGCTATCGAATGTGACGATATTCGACCAATTCGTCAAGGATGTGGTAAATGATGTGCAAATGGCGGTTTGAAAGTATGGTATACCAAATTTACCTATGTACAATACGTTTCACTAAATAAACATTCCTTCCAGCCTCCTCGGTCTTTTCTTCTTTACAGTAGTATTTAATGTACAACGTTGAATTATACAAGAACTGAAGTATTTTTATGCTCATAGGCTTAATTATATTTCGCAGTTACTTAACAATAAGACGATATCTTCGACTCACTAGATATTCTTTATTAATCAGACAATTGTTATTTTTATACAAAGGCGCTGTGTGATAGTGGTCGAAACAATATGGAATAAATTAACTATTTTGTGCAATTTGTGACTTAACATTAGGCTTTTTAAATGAAATACTGGACAAGTCGGCGAATTTCGAGAATAGACATCCCGAGGAACGAACACACGAATGACCATGGAACGACCAATTGAGCTAAAAAGGTGATTTTGAGTCCCTAACTCAACCCTAAACCTAATCTTTCCCTATCCTAACCTACCTAAAACTAACCCTATTCAATAGTATTATACTTTCTTCAACACTTTTTTTATGAATATAATATCACTAACCTGGTCTCACTGCCCTGAGTGTTCCAAGGTGGGTGGGTCACTGATACGTTTGTTCCTCTCAGTGTCTATTCTTTAACTTCGGCGAAAAGTTAATATTGTTCAGAGTACCATAGTTCTAAGGAGGGGGGGGGGAGATAATAGCTATACAATTGAAATAAGCTTAAAGCATTATCTGTTTTTAATTCAGTATCGATTTTCCCGTTGATTGACTGCACCGAAATGTTCAGCCTCAGTCGACAAGTTGGAGCCCAGTAAGGACGCTTCGACGATGTTTGATGATTACCTTGAAGTAATTTAGTGGATAGTGACTAGCAGTGGAACCCAGGATTTACCAACATATCAACTGAGGCCAAACATTTCGGTCCAGTCAATCAACAGGAAAATCAAAACTACGTTGCACAGGAGGTGGCTCTCATGACCCAAGTGGTCTAGTGGATAACGCCTTGGCTTTTGAAACGATGGGTACTGGGTTCGAGTTTCAGTGAGAACACCATCACTCAGTGGGAATGCTGGTACATTCGGCTGACGTGTCCCAAATAGGACGAAATGCGCGTTCTTGGTTTCACTGCTAGTCAACATTTACCAAATTACTTTAAGCTTCAAGCAGTTCAAAGTATTTTACAGTTTAATTTTAAATGAAGTGGATTTTATATTGACTATAGAAATAACACAGGTCTACTTACTTTCATCAGGAATTTCTACTTGATTATTTTTAGCACATTTGTACGACCCAGTTGTTGATTTAGATATTAAACTCGGATTAGTAGAGCATTCTCTGTGTTTTAATTCTGATTTAAGATTCTTAGGAATTGATTGATCATTATTCATTGAAATTTCAATTGGTGAAGACTTTGTCGATATGGTCTTAGAATAAATTTTATCATCTGATCTAGGAAGATATCCTATTCGAAAATGTTGATACACTAACAGAAGTAAGGCTGATATGATACAACAAGTCCCTGTAAAATAAAATCAATACAATATTTAAATTCGAAAAAAAGCAAATGAAAAACTTAATAATAATGATTATAATTACATTTGGGACCTTCTGGTTACAAGACTAGCTCGCAGACCATTCAGCCACTGGGTTCGAAACCCGGTGGGTTAGTATTGCCGGTGAGTCTTGAACTAGGACGAAACAGCTGTCCAGTACTCCCTGGTTTTCAGTGGTTCTCTAACTGATATCAATCCGTGATCAAAACTTGAAACCAATCAAATCCCTACAAACTAACCCTCGAAAATTAATCTGATGCTTGCTAGTGACTGGCTAAAGGACGAAGTTACCTGGAGTTCTAGTGAGAAGTAAAGACCAGTAGTGTCCACCCGATCGGGAGTGAGGATAAATAATCATATTACTAATTAAAATGATTTGAATAGAATAACACTTCGTTAGTACTGTTGGGGAAGTTGTTCAGCCTAACGAATAAGCAACTGACCGAAATATCCAAGACATTTATTATTTATATATATATATATATATATATATATATATATATGGGTAGCTGTCATCCTTTAGTGCATAATGCTGTATCAGGTATATAATTTACATTATATCGTGGAAAATACCCATCACGACACTGGAGACAATAGAACATGAGGTTCAGCAAAGATAATTTTTCAGCGATTTCATCCTCCAAAGCTGACGATCTCATATCTACACATAAACTTGCATAGTTACAGTTATTATTCTTTTTCTTTTATTCCTTTGCGTTCCCAATGGAACATAGCTTTAGCTTTGGAGTTTCAGTAGCAGTGGTGTTTTTACGGGGTGAGGTTGCTAGCCCCACGCCCAACCTTCCCTCTTTGTCGGCAGTGTAACCGGCTAAGGGAGGTAAAGGTGTGCGCCAGCCGGGACTCGAACCCCGGACCACGTGCATGGTCGGCCAGTGCTCTACCGCTGAACCACCGACGCACCCAAAAGGAGTGCGTCTTCGACTAGTTGACACAACTCACTGACTGGTGTAAAGCATTTCGCCTGGTCACTCAGTCGCATTGCAATATAATATTTACGCCTTGATATAAGTATAAAACTTGGGCACTGTGATAGAGTATAACTCCATTATAGATAAGATCTTATTTTGATAAATCACAGTGTTATACAGTAATATTAACTGATGACGTTTCGAGCACAAACTATTGCTCATAATCATATACATAAGCTTTTCGGTACATTTTCAGAAAATCGGAGGTGTGTCCTTCTTTCTGCTTTCGTTCAGTGTAACTGCTCCCACAGTTATTATTAAGGTGATAATAATCTTCTACCTGATATGAAAGCTTGAACGTGTGACTATAGATCACAAGAGGCATAGAAACAAAATTACATGGGATTAGAAAATAGTTGCGTAATGAGTGAAATAGTTTTTAACGAAGACATGTGTGAACAGAATGACGATAGAAACAAACTGAAATAATAGTTTTTATAATTGAAGACAAAGAAAAAATGAAGGGAATGAAAAAGACTACAAATAAGAAGCCAAAAAGTACTAGATCCTTGGTAAATGTAGAGGACACACTAATTTCTTTTGAACACATAACTCCGGCTTCTTCTTGATGCATATAGTGAGGGCGTCTCCAGTAAAAAGAATTCAGAAACACACTGCCTATGGTAGATTTTTCTTTACTTTGTAAATGACTCTGAATAATGAGTCTGTAGACATCTGTGATAAGTGTTGACAAGGTGTTCAAAGCGTGTTACAGAGAACACTATCCAGTATGGCAGCAAAGTGTCGGCACTGGTTCAATCAGAAGTGCTATAATTTACCTTACTTTCATTCTCTATTATTAGAGATTTAATTCGCGGTGATGATAAACACAAAATTGAGGAAATAGAGTAGATTTTTTTTCAGAGTATATGTTGAGTTTTTTCCTAACATTAAGTTTGTTTTTATTCTGTTGAATTGGCAATGATTTTTATCACGTATCATGATATCTCTAAGTATACAAACAATTCGTCATATGTATATATATGATTGCTCCTTTGAGAACTATGAGAGATTTAATCTATATGTATCAATATTTTTTCTGGAAGCTAATAATAGCTAACTGATGTAACAGTGAAGGGATGTAAGCATTAAGCACAATAATTCAAGTAGTCATACTAAGAGAGAGCATACTGAAACATGTGCTTATATATATATATATATATATGTTTACAATATGATATAATAACACGCTGTCAACAATTAAACAGGAAAAAAACTTAATAATCATTTGGATAGTTCATTAAAATCTCTAAGATTGTGTTCTAATACACATTATGACTTGTGCAGAGATATTTATATCAGAATTGATTTTAAATTTTACATCATATAATAACCGTTACATTTAGCTTTAATTTATTTTGAATATAATATGATCATATTATACAGTAATTAGCAGAATGGTGGTGCCAGCTACTTATAAACACATATAAGTAGTATGTACAGTAACCCCCTCAGAAAAATAATGCTAATGCAAAGGTCACTACTTTCAAGTCTGTGTGGAGGTCAACAGCACTCAAAATCAAAAATAAGATCCGGATTTTCAACTCAAATGTGAAGTCAGTCAGTGCTACTATACGGATCAGAGACTTGCACTGCGCGTCATAAAGAGCATCTCAAACAAACTACAGACCTTCATTAACAGTTGTCTTCGCTCAATACTCAAGATCAGATGGCCAGAAAAGATCAGCAACAGCGATCTCTGGCAATGAACAAACCAACTAGGAACCGATTGTGAAACAAATAGGCAGGAAGAAATGGAGATGGATTGGCTGGCCAAACTCTGAGGAAACAATGCATCAAGTGACATCACTAGACAAGCCATTGCTCGAGTGGAACCCGAAAGGGAAGCGGCAAGTTGGTCGTCCAAGAGTGACTTGGAGGAGGTCATGTGAAGAGATGAAAACGTGTGGGCAGACTTGGAGCCAGGTGAAGACTCTAGCAGAGAACCGAACGCAATGGAGACGCACGGCTGAAGCCCTATGTTCCTCTAGGAATTAAAGGAAACAATAATAATAATAAAAGTCACTGGAGGAGAAACGTCAAAAGATATTTGCCATTTTGAGAGGAACGTAATAGGCAATACAATGAAGAACAAAACATCCCTAGTATGTTATTACCATTCATTCTTTGGAGTTCCCAGTGGAACACATAGAGTTTCAGCGACACCATTCCTAACATAGAACAGATGATATTATTTGCACATATTGAAACTAATGGTCTATTATTTTAATGATATTCATTGTATTTTGTCTCACTAATCATTACACCTGACCTCGCCAATCAGTCTTATTCTCTTCAGTACGACTACATATTTATGATTGGACACTAGTCAGTAACTAGTGTAATGTATCTGGTCCTTTGTTTGGTGCAGACTGAATTTTATCAGTCAAGTTTGCAATGTGGCCACCATTCTAGGTGGCTCGCCACCACGGTGCCCTGTGAATTTTTGGTATTAGATGGACTAGACACATTACACTAGTTACTGACTAGTGTCCAATCAAAAATATGCAATACAGTTCTACAGGAGGTCAATCGCGAGCCCGAATAGCTCAGTGGTAACGTCTCTGACTGCAGCACTGGGTGACGCGGGTTCGAATCTCAGAAGGGATATGAGTTCCCTCAAGGTTGCAGATACGCCTTGCTGACTGGTGAATGGCAACTAGCACGAAACCTAGGTCAGGCAAGGCTTCCTGCCGATTGCCTCCAACCATCGAATACCAACAGTACGACTACATGTTGGCTATTTATGATAAACGTGTGATTTTTCATCCCTCTAAGAAAGAGTACATCTTCAACGCCTATTAAGCACCATATAGAAAAGAAGGGACTTATAAAGAATAAAGAAATGATCTTAGACATTAATATATTTCTAAAATGAGATAGGGAAAATATGGAAAAATCACTAGTCAAAACTATCTAAAACAGTCTTATTTAGAATTTGAAAAACCTTACAGAATTTTATTTTTATTTTGATTACATGATTCCAATATACTAAAGCGCTAACAATTCCAACACATACACATCGCCCAGATCAGTAAATTTGAGATTTAAAGAGCTAATGATATATATATATATATATATATATATATTGATCAAGAAGCCCTAACGTTTACTTCATGATATGTTGATTTCTGAATATGTATGTTGGTTATTTTGCTATTGCAAAACAAATGTAAGGGCAGGCAATGTTTGAAACCCGTCTACAATACCGCTGACATTAATAATGAAAATTTACGACATATATTGAAAAACAAAACAAAGGTGGACAAACGATTTTTTATCGATTAAAACTTGAAGGTAATCATAAAACATTAAAATGACTTTTTCTCCTCCTATATTTATTTACTGCAATGTTTTCGCAGACAATATGAGAAGGTTTTCAAGTATTGGTTTCGTAGGGATTTTGTTTGATTGGTTGGAGGATTTCATCATGAACTGACATCCGTTAGAGAACCACTGGAAAACCTGGGAGTACTGGACAGCTGTTTCGTCCGAGTTTGGGACTCTTCTGCAGTACGCACCCATGGGAGTTCGAGAATAAGAATGTATGTGGTAAATTTTGATCAACCAACTTAGACAGAGACTTCCTTAATAAAGAAGACAATTTTGTCTTAAGTCTTTTTCATACATTTACTCCCCTTTATGAATTTGAATAAAGCAAGAACAACAGTTTTTGCAGAATAATATGGTACCATCATTATTTATTTCGTTTGCTTCTCATCAGCTGCTTACAACCTAAATAAGTTATTATTAAGTTCATGTACAGAAAAGTTTAAACATATTTGCAAATTTTACATGATGTCAGTTGACAGGAAGTTCCGAACTTAGTGAACAGTGTTCAGAAAATTACGCTTACATAGTTTTTACACAGGAAGTTCAAGTTTAAACAAAGTAAATGTATGCGCATACAACGGTAAAGGAGTTACGTAATACAGACGACAGGTACGTAAGATGATGAGTAACTAATAAATTGGGTGACAATGTACTGAGTTCAACTCAAGTCATAACTTAACACAGAATTGCCTCTTTTCCATAAGGTATTCACAAGTAAACTTAAAATCTACTAGTCAGAGTAATCAACTGTGAAATATTGGATCTCGATTTTGAATACAACATCACCTATTATCCTCTGAACTGCTATTAATACTGTTTATTATTATGCATTCCTTGCGTCCCAAGTGGAACATAGGGCTTCAACAGCATAAGTGTTCATCATTATTTCACAGCACTGTAGTTAATGACACGTGTGTAAATAAATCACATAATAGATATAACATAAACAAAAACAAATATTTTAGATGAAAAAAATTAATATCAGATTTGAGCGTAGTACTAAGGTCATTTCAACGGCTTATGCATAATAAAACATTTCAAAAAATTTACGATTCCCATAGTAAAATTTAGAAATATAACAATATTGTTTTAGATTAGATCTCCTGATGCTTCATCTTAATTATCAAGTATTGGTTTGCAGAGATTTGATTGGTTTCAGGTTGGATCACCAGTCGACATCAGTTAGAGAACCATTGGAAAACCTGCAGGGAGTAATGAACAGTTGTTTCGTCCCAGTTTGGAACTTTTCAATAATACGCACTCACTGGGGTTCGGACGCAGGACCTACCGGTTACAAGGCGAGCTCGTACACCATTCAGCCACTGGGACCCGACCCAGTATATATATATATACTACTAAAGGAAAAAGGTACATTCCCCGTACGCCTGAAGAGTTATTCCTTGATGGTACATCCAGGGATATCATCCGCTTTCTATTCACATTCGCCTTCAATAAATTAGAAATGAAATAAACGACATTACTTACTCCATACTTTGCAATTCGCTTGCACAAAAGCCTCAACAGTTCAACTAACCAATTTGCATCTCTAAGATAAGAAGAATCATATAAATCTAAAACCCGATGAAAGTTCCGTTGTGTAGTTTAGGAAAACTCTATAGCTATTGTATGTTACTGCCCATTGCCTCTTCATTGAACCGTATATAGTTGCCGAAATTATTCCCTTGTTAAAATTTATTCAGAAGGTTTAACAGTGAGTTTTCAGCTTTTCCATTTTAATTTGTACGATTTAGTTTGATTTTGCTCAATTATAAAATAGGTTTGTCCAGCTTCCTTAAAATTGGGTTTTGCATTCTATAAGTTTTCTTAAAGCCTTATCTTGTTCGGTCAGTCTACTTATGGAAGGCCAACAGATTACAAATATGACGAATACAGATGTCTGAAGTAATCATATGCTTATCAAAATGATGCCAGTCAGTTAATGATAGTATGATGGACAGGTGACTTTGTATCGTATAAAATTGCATGCTATAACTCTTAAGCCAAAATAAAGACTTAATGGAACCTTCCAAGAAGTGTTTGCTTATGATAAATTCCAAGAATTATTCAAAGGTGAGGGCAAGGATGAACATAACTCATCTAACAGGTGTCTTCATTTCATCAGTGAATCACTCAGTTGTCTTATAGTTCCGGAGGTGGCTTTTGACGAAAATCTCGTCAGATGATAATTGTGTACTTTAATATTTCGATCAGGAACAAAAGGGAGGTGTGTGTGTGTGAATAATACATAACAACAAAAACATGGCAAATAATAATAATAACAATAATAATAAAGAATACCCTTGTCACTCATTTTTTACCCTGGTCAGCGGATGCACAGTGACAGGAAAAATCTAAATTATCCTAGTCACAAAATAATACAATTCGTAATAAATATCTGTATTACCCAATATTTTCCATAGTATTGTACAAGGAAATAAAGAGAAGGCGATATCTTTAAGAATTAAGAGTCAAAAAAGACGGGCATTTAATTCTCCCATCATGGGAAATGATAATAACTTTTAAGAATACTTGTTTTTTTTCAAGAATACGAAAGAGAATGTGTTGACTTAAACTCTAATAAGGAGGAAACATAGGACTTCAATATAGTAGAATATAAGATTTATTGAGTGAATCTTTAAAATAAAACACACGTACCAATAAAAATTAAAGGTGCTCGCCACGCAAAATTGCCAAGAAATACTGTTGAAACTGAAAAGATTCCAATTGATAACCAAGAACCTATACAGCCGGCAACATTGGCAGATGAAGATATAACACCCCACCAAGTGGCGAGTTCTTGAGGAGCTACATACTTAGAATTTAAGAAAAAAATGAAAACAAACTGGTAAGTTATTTTACCAAAGTTTGAATTATTTCTTTCAAAAAAACAAACAAATATTGGTAGCTGTCTTATAATATTGAGCTATTCAGCTATTATAACATGCATACAATGTACGCTAGTAAAACGGAGCATTTTACACTGCCTCTAGTTGATAGATTTTAAGTCTATCAGCCATAAATCTGATTTGAACTTATACCTTTAACCAACCCCATGCTCTCATTTCTACAGCCTGTGGTGTCAACAACATATGTTCTAATTCATAAAGAAACACCAACGACTTGTTTCACAATGGTTACTGAAAGTAGTGATGATAAAGCCTAGGTATCAAATTATCAGCCATGTACAACAATTAAGTCAGTCTGTGGAAAAAAGTGGTGGGAGATTTGAGACAAAGGTCATCCTCTCCCTGATACGAAACATAAGTATAGAAGTTCCATTAGTCGACTGACTTCATAAAATGTTGATCTATTTAATGAAGTAGGACATACGTATACGGTCAACCGACACTGACAAGTTTTTCTGCTTCCTTGACATTTTAATGTGCGATAGTAACTCATCTTTTAATCTATTTTATTCTGACTAGTCATGTTCTCTTCCTTTTTATTCAACTTACCAATTCGTGATGCGTTGTTTAAAAATATGATACATGGAAGCAGCGAATCAGTGTGTCGAATCATGTACATCACTATATTCGACTAACTTAAAACTACTTCTTAAAAAATTATGAGCCTTTTGAGACTCAAAGTAAATATTTACGAAATCTAACACTTGTAGAAATATGCTATGTGGAAGTGTAAATTTATGGTATGAAGAACACCTACAACAAAATTCCTTCTTAGAAACCCTACTGACATAAAATTCTTCTTTACTTCTGTAATTAAAATAGGCGATGATAAAATAGTATTCGATTCTCTTAAATGATAAACCTTATGTAACGTCCATTGAATTTCACGATACAGACAGCATTTAAAACTAGAATGAAAGTGCTACAGATGAAACCGGAAACTGATTAGTATAATACGATAAAACTGTTCAGATCCTCTCAAATTCTTAAAAATTCATAACCAAACTATACATGTAAACATTGTTTTATCTTGACATACCATACGAAGTAACTTCGATACGGCCGGCCAACCAGAACCAAGCGTTAAACCAGACATTCCATAGAGCAATAGCCAAATCAACCAATGTGATGAAACTAGGGTAAAAGATAGTTTAAAATTAAGACATACAGTACATTGGCTTTGTATGACTTAAATTACGATCATTGAGTTAATCAAAATAAGCCAACAGAATAACAGAAATACATGAAGCAAGGAACCATTCTTTCATTAACTTGATTTTTATCGGCATACCACAGGTTTAAACCACTTTTTACCAACCTAGTTACAAGCACCTAAATAGTATCACATCATGTCCACTTTGTGCGCAAACCCGCACAGTTTGTTGTGCTGCACTGACTATATTTACACAGAAATGTGAATAATTCGTTTCGTAATACAAGCATGATACACGGCGATCAAACCAAAAATTACCTTACTTACTTGTTAAGAGGAAAAGTAAGCCTGAAATTAAGAGTAGTGAATATATGAATACATTGAGTGGATTAAGACGATCCATAAGAACTCCACCGACTAATTTTGTAACTGTGTAACCCAATGTTTGGGATGTTATCATCAAACCTGTAAAATCAGCAATAAGAAACCATGTTTAAACATACAATAGGTTGAAAGAGTAAGAATTTTCGAGAGAACAGACGCGAATCACATGTTAATATTAATGTAATTAAATAGTGCAGGTATCCATAAAGATATGTCAGCAGTGAATTTAGCATAATAAACTTTGTGGAGAGCAAACCATCATTTAATTTCATGCCTAGAGTTAGCAGTTGGTATTTTCGACATCAGCAATACAGTGTCAGTAAATAGGTTTATATGGATCAACAAAAGCATGACAACTAAAATGTTACGACTAGTCTTTTGTACAATCAAAACAATTTCAGGTTATATGGGATAAGATATATATTTATCCCGTGAAACTGCTTAAAAGCATGATATTACTGTAGACCTAAAAAGGGATCATACTCCAATAATATTATTGAACTAGACAAATCATTTGAGAGATCTTACTAAAGAGTTTCAGTTTTCGGTAAGAAAATTGTAATGATATGCCGCCCATTCGACTACTTCACCTAGTGTGTCCTTCGGATTTGAACTAGCATATCAGTCCCGGTGTCAGAAATCCTTCACCAGAACCGACCGACAAAACAACCCCTAGTAAATAATACAGAAAAAACAAATAAAACTGACGAATCGTGCTCATATACACGCATCACAATGTGAGGTACTTCACTGGTACTCGTACTGCAACCAGCATCGAGATTTTCAGACCAGATTAGGTACAGTATAATTTGAGCCATATACGACAGTTAAGTGGTGTAAGCACTTCACCATATGACTAAATATGATTAAGTAAAATGTTTAACACCTTACCCAGTTGAGAATTTTCTCTAGCCCCTTTGTATTCATTTGGGATTAGCGAGTACACATTCTGTATAGCCTTTTTGGCTAATGATATAAAGAAGTAACTGCAGAATAATAAAATTAACAGTCCAACCGGCCTTTTAATTTTTGTTTGCATTATGCTGTAAAACAAACAACAAAAATAATTATCTCAGTAAAATTTTGCACAACTTATAATCAGAAATAAATTACAGGAGTAGTACAATCTAGCTCATATAACATTACAGAGGTCACATATTTGTAATTGTCCATTAATTCAGTCTCACAAATTATTGTGTGCAACAATCATACAAGAGATGTGTTGTCAGTTACAACTCAATTACTCCTAATGAACAGCTCATGTAACAGACTATGAGCTGATGACACTATCCATTTGCGGAGGCTGAAGTAGGTGAGGTGCCATTCAAACCAGGGACCCATTGGCTGAAAAGCTGGTCTTAGGTCAATGGGTCATATCTCAAAAAGTAATGCGTGGATACTTATATTTCCTTGAATAGTTTTTTTTTAATTATAGCTTGATTTCACACTGTATTTTTCGTACAAGTATGGAATTTTCAGCATGTGATATCGGTAGCCCAAATTTTGCAGGTATGCGTCTGCAGAAGATCGAACCGCGGACCATGTGCATGGTCGGCGAGCCTTAACCGCTACGCCAACGACGCACACTTAAATTGTGTGAAAAAGTATGAATGTTAAATGCTTATTCAAAGGGCATAAAGTTACAACTTAATCCTACTAGACATTCTGGAAACAAGTACCAAACCACAATAACAACAAACAGGGATGGGCAAGCCAACGCTGATTCTAGGTTTTTTCATTAGTAATATACTACATGATGAACAAGCTTCCAAAAATAAAATGTTCATATTTATAGGAGAATAAATACGCCAGAAAATTTGTGCAACTGAGAGCATATAAACATGTGGTTCTAAAAGCTTATGGAATGCAAAGCATTCAAGAACACCACATGACTACAGTAAGGTGGATGTAATTCTTGCTACAACCTCTGAATAGACTAAAAGAATTAATGAGTGAATAAGTGTACCCTATCCTTTCATTCAAAGAAAATAAAGTAGACAGTACACACTGTAGTTGACCTGAGAAATCCTGAGTGTCGATTAAGAGGATGTGAAATCCACGTTGGATATTACAAAAAAACATAAGGTAGTAAAATATTTATGATTACGGTTAGAAAGTCATGGAATTAGTCATTTATGAATAACCACATACACTAAAAATACTTCGGATGTATAGTACAGTCAATGGAAGACTAAACTCCCCATTCGTCACTTCGATATTTGGAGATGAAGATAAAAGGAAAAAAATACCAGAAATATAAAAACTGAGGGATTATTATTGACGAGGAAAGTGTCAAAAGATATTGGAAGATAATAGTTCAGTGTGTCAAATTAAAATGCAGAGTGGTGAACACAGCCAAAAAGTTGTAGGCTCTTCCAATCTTTGATTCTAACAGTGTACGAAATCACCGATTTTGACAACGACAGGTTAAATAATTTTTCATTCACCACGTCAATAAATTACTCGATCAACCTTTGCCATTCGTCTCCACATCCCCAGCTATATCAAAATAGATGAAAAAGACCCGTAACTATGTGTGTTAATTTAAAACTAGTATCAAATTTTCCACCAAAACATTGTCAGGGGCAGCCCAGAGTACGCTGTAGCACACACCTATTAAGTACTCTAACAGCCGAAGCACCTTCTGCGAGTTTAACAAGCAGAAAACGAGTTCAGCAACACAGTGAAAAACTGGAGCGAGACTGTTTCTCGAAAAACCTAGAATGATTCAACTTTCATCCGTTCACTTTGCTTTTTTCTAGTTAGCTTGCTTAGATTTATTAGACTCACTGCTTGACGTAGTCCTGTATTGTTTAATTGTAGGATAAAGTCTGTGAGTAAAAAAACCTAAATGTAAGAGGACTATAGTGGGTAATTTACGCTGCACTTTACCCACATTTTACTCATGTCTTCGCCGATCAAAATTGCCCACTGAGCCCACGTTTTGCCCACTTCGCTTATGTGCATTCACCAACTGGGTAGTCTTCATTTGTGATTATAAATATATGAAGTTTATAAATGTTTAATATTATTAACTATAACACTTCAGTAATAACTCTAATATTTAGAATTACTCGCGAATCCAAATAATACCGTTGGACGATTAATCGCTCCTATGATTATAAATCACTTGAGTGATTCATGAAGAAAAAAACAAGACAAGAGAATATTATGCTTCTTCGCTATCTATACTAAGATTTGAAAGTTGCCTAACATCATTATCAACTTGATTTCAAAATGGTTTCTGATCAAAACCTTACACTATAGGTTAACAATTTTTATGGCAAAGTTAAACTATCATAGACAAAATTGAAGTGATCTTGGACAACTGATCAGAACTTAGATGCAAAAAAGTCGTAAAGTCGCTGGAAAATGCACTAGAAACCACTGCAAGCATGACATTAAGCTATATAGTTATCGCGTATGTGTTCAAAGAATGTCTTTCAGTTAATACATAAATGGTCTATAAGGAAATCACACCATATGCTACAGATACATTCATCCAGGCGACTGTGGATCATGATACTTTGACATCCAACAATATTTCTGACACTGTTCTTTAACTTACTCCTAACTCTAACCATAATCTTAACTCTAACCCGAATTCTAAACTTAACCCTAAAACTTAATCTTAAAAACCATAACCCTAACTAACAGTATATATTTACAGAAAAGCACCTGGGAAGTAATTAGAAAGCTGTATCTACCCTCTCCAAATACAAAAAGGTATGCATGGTTTGATTTGGAATGATTTTCCAAAGCGTCTCCTAAGTCTGATCGGTTATTAAAGGTCAACTTTTCACAGAGATTGACTTTGGCTATGGTAACATATTTTGAAAGGTCTTGAAAATTAATGTGGTGTATATCTTAAGTCAAGTATTACCATATATTGTTATTACTTCTCACACCACCTCTAGTTTTAAAAGTTGACACTAAGTCAAGGACATATTTAGCTAGTTCTGCATCTAAACACTATAACAACACGTGGTACACATATTGTGCAGCAATATATAAAATTTGTGGTGGTTTGTTCATCTATATTAAGCCAGACAAGCATAGTTTCTTTATATTCTAAGTAATAGTGTGAATACGGAATAATGTAAATGTCGAGCACAGTGGTATTTTGTAATGGAACTGTTTCTTTGGCGAAATGACATGCAGGGAATTCATAATACGAAAGCCCTACGGTGTAACCTCAGTTTATAAAAAGTATTTGTATTTTGCTGTTGTCTATATTTCATGCTCTCTGTTCATTTTTCCATTACTTAAGAATTATGTTGTTATTCCTTTACAATCCCAGTGGATCATAGGGCTTCAAGCTGGAGCTTTGAAGTTACAGTAGCGGTGGTGTTTATTTTTACGGGGTGGGGTTGCAAGCCTCATGCCCAAACTGCCCTCTCTACCAGTCTTGTTACCACATATCGAGGTTTATTAGTGAGTCGGCAGGGGATCGAACCCAGAACCAAAAGAGTGAATGGAGAGCATTCTGCCACTAAGCCACCGACGCACTATCACTAGGATATTAGTCACAAATTCTTGTCAGAAGCACACGTCACGCCCATCCCCCCACAACCACTAAAACGCCTGAAGCGCAATCTCTCAGACCTTCTTGGTCCTACCAACCATTATTTTCCTTAGTTCTGGCTTCTTAAAGCCACTGTATCCATCACCTAAGTTGGCAGCCGTTAACATGTTTCCTTCTGCACCATCTTCTGGTAGTATTAATGAAATAACGTCTCTCGATGACACCATACATTTCTCCGGACTTTAGAGGTAGCCTTAGTGGAGCTAGAGGGCTTCTGACAGTGTACTTTTTCCCTACATACATTTACGATCTCCAATTTCAAACATTACTCTTTTCTTGTTTTTCCTCTTTTCACATTTTACAGTGCCGTCCTTTTGTTTATAGTGCACATTTCTGATTGCATCTTCCCATCTCTTCAAATTCCACTATTGGTGATTAGCCCCTGTCTTACTGCTTTTATCAACTTCGTTTTTGTTTCAACAAAAGAAGCACGATGTGTTTCAACAATTATTGTCGGTTCTATTCTAGGAAACCAGTCAGTTAGGCTGCTTGAACGAATCCCAGCTGGCTTGCGACTTGCCTTTAACCAGAAATAACCCTCATGATTATTGTCTGTCCATCTCTTCTGCTTGATCTGGGCTCTGACACCATCTGCTGACTCATTTTTGCTGGCCCACCTAACCTGGTTTCCAGGCTGCTCTTAACACCACCCCTACTAGAGAAGGGAGAATATAAAAATCACAGGTGCTCAAAGGTGCATTTGTTAACAATGTTATGATGAGAGTACGGAGAAACACAGTCACACCACAACGCAGGTGTTCCTGAAAATCCAACTACTCACAGTCTGATGCAGTCAGCAGAGATAAATCAGTCAACCACTAGGAGTGAAATGACTGAGATTAGGATTACTAGTTTGTGGATAGAATGGTTTTGTTCTGCTCTAACATGCAGGGTGTAGATTATTCACTTTCAAACCAAGAACACTGAGCTATCACTGTCGACTTTGGCGAACCGAAAGCGACGATATGTCGAATCACTGCGTTGGTCACAGTCTGGGATTACGACGGCGTCTGCCCGTCGTGTAGTATATCGTCATTGCTACCAGATACTGACTGCAGTTGGATATATATGGCAAAGCTTTCATTTCATCCACAAGCTACGAGTCACCCAGTAACGTGACTGGAATAGGCCAAAGAGATAGTCAAATGTACCGATCCCCTTTTATCAAATGAAATTGCAGACAACCATGTGAATATTTTGCAACATCTCTCATACCTGGCTTGTACATTCTGTCTCATAAAGTCAGTTATCCTGTCTATATCTTGGCATGCTAGGTGGTGGCATTCATGTATCACCTCCTCCAGTAGACACCGTTATATCACCATCAGCCGCTTCTACACTTCTCCTGCCAAGTCAAAACCTCGTAAGTGTTCCGTCTGAGTTGGCGGTTCTGCCTAAGTATATTGGATAGTTTACCATTTGCCCATTCACATACATTCCATCCATATTCGCCTGTTTTCTTATGTTTATAGCAAGATTCGACTTCTGAAGGCAAACAAGTTCTAGTGGATCTTTCCCCAATGCATTTACTGCGTATCTTCATCCAGTTGATGCAGTTATATCTTTTGGTTTGGGCAGAAAGTCTGTCGACAAATTATTTTGCAGACTAATTGGCCTTTAACGGCGATATCTCAGGTAGGAACTTTATCCCATCGATTCCCACACTATTCCCGAAGAGTGTAGCATATTTTTAAACTATTTAAGTTTCCGTCCTGTTGATGGGTAGTGGGAACTCTTCATGCGTCGTAAAACAGCACTAATATGCTGCACATGGGCATTTTCTATCGGACTGTGTAGGAATGGATCAGCGCAGAACTTCTACGTTCTCCATGTTCTTAACTGACAGCCTTATTAATCGCCTGGGTATAAAGTGTGCACTCATCATTCCGGAAGACACACGTTTAGATCGATATTACAGGAGTGTTAAATTTCACTACCAGTAACATAATATGCAAGAGTGAAAACACATTATAAGATAACAAGGTATTATTCCTCTGATATTTTTAAAACTTGGCCAGCTCGACAGTCACTGCAGTAGCCTTGTTTAACCGCCAGCAAAAGACCATAATTGCTTATGTTTAGGTCCAATAATGAAATGCATCAGGCAATTTTTGAAATTTCTGGCAGTGATTTATTTTCTAGGTCCTCTCCTTGGAACCGTTAGTGTAAGCTTTGTCTGTTTAACACTAAGAGTCAGACAGTAATTCTCTATGGTTGCAGTAAAAGTGGTTGTTCCCAATCATTTTTCACAAACCCTTCTAGGAGGCCAGTTAATTACACTTCAGTGTGCTTGTCCACCTGGAAACCTAATTTAAAAATAAGTTGGTAGCTGTTATTTGGCCACTGAACTGTCACATTTTCCTCTTAGAATTTAGGGTTGTAGTTCATTTGTATCAAAATAAACACCCGAAATACTCACCAATAGCGCTTACAAGATTAGAAGACGAAGATTGGTGTTTAACGTGTATTTAGTAAGCACGTTGTCGGTTAGGTTAGGAGGGGAAGCCTGGTCAGACACACTGAAAGGCATTCACCATTTATCACCGTTCAACTGGGAAAGAGAAGCTTAAAAGTCATAGTGGCTATTTGTTGATCTGTCTCGTCGTCCTATATTCCTTAAGAACCAAAAGTTTACTGAGTGCCCCTCGCGTTTATTTAATGTTCAGCATAGTATAGAAATGCTACACCAATCTCCCCCTGAGATCCACTTCTCTAAGTTTGTCGATTCGATACAGGATACTGGGATTGATTCTAGGGTTTCTGACCGAATGCTTTCGTTCTCGCTTGTCTACTTTAGACTTGGGTTCAGCTAAGGCTGTGGTGTTACTGATGTGTCTGAATAATAATAATGTATTTCATATAAATTTACAAATTTACATGAAAATGCGTGCCATTTTTACAGGCACGACCAAGTATGATATAATATCAAATCGTAGATTGTCTACAAGTTAATCGTATTTCAACTGTTAAATATTCGATACATACAATACACTCATTTTCTGAATTAGGCCGTATAGTTATTGAATTGTACAGTTGTCCTCCAGGTTGAGCGGGAAAATCGACTTCGTTCCGTTTTCATCCCGTGGTTGTAGGCATACGATAACCAACCAATATTGAGGTAAGTACACCTTTTACAAGGGATTGGAATCTGTTTTAGAAAAATTAAAGTGCTGAGGTGAATCATTAAATTGTAATGAAATAGGTAAGTGCAAGTATCATTAATAAATGCATTAATAAAGGAAACACCCTAGGGTAACAACATTCATTTGCAATGTATAATGCTACAGATATATCACAAACTATCATGATATCCACTTTTGGTTTTAATACAATTATCCTCATGCCAGTTGTTTTTATTTTATACCTTTTTGTGCATTTAGTGCACAACCGTACCCTTCAGAGAGTAGGAGTATAATAAGTAATGAAGAGCTATAAGATGTTAAGTTTAATGGAGTAAAATGAGGATCAGTAAAGACGTTGTCAGAAAATAAATGAGATAAGACATTGTGGAGTGGTATGAAAAGATCTGACGATAGACAGCAAGTTAATTTATAAGATGCCCCATAAATCTGAGCAGATCCCACATGGTCGCATCTCAACAATAGGCTGGGTGAGTGGTATATATTTGAAGGTAGAAGCATGATCTGTCAAGGCGTTCATTGTTATCTTTTTCAAGATAAAGATTTAAGCCCTCATAAAAATCAGAAATATCTCGAGCCTTCAAATTTTTTAATGCTGTTCCTGCAGAATGGGGTGATTCACCTTAGTGACCCCCACCATATCTACTGATCAGCTAACTCCACCCTCCCACCTTTTTTGATGTTAGGCTCTGAGACTATGATTATTATGGTTACCGCAAATATATTGCTTGGTACCAGACATGTTCGTACCCCATATTCCATCTCCCTAGCTTTCTTAATGAGTGCTTCCAATAGGTCCCCGCGTACATCTTTATGAACATATTATATATGTATGCATGCGTCCTAATGAACAGATTACTTTATAAGAAGTCAAAACCTTGAAGAATAACAAGAATAGGTTTTGCGAATAGTGGAGCAAGATTCAGCAGAACAATATGGTTAGGGTTCAATATAGGTAGTATGAACTGAAGGTAAGGTCGGTTGGCAGGACCAAGTGTACTAAATTATCATGACAGTTTTATATATAGTAAACATTTGACATTGCAAAGTAACCTGTCTACATATATTATAAAAAGATATTAGCAGAACCAACAAAATTTCAGCACTTGGTTAACAATACTACAGAAAGTTAGTGAGTCTTACAGGTAGCCGTAAAGTAAATCAATCTATGTATAATAAGAGTGTAATCAGTGTTATAATTCGTATTATCAAAGAATACATTAGGCTCAAAAACTGAATGTTATAAGGGAAATAAGAGTGATAAACTAAGAGAACATTTGCTGCGTAAGTAATCATTTTAAGTATTTTAATGATAATCTAATTTCAAGTATTGAACATGCATAATTACTAAGTATTATTAGGTTAGTCTAGGAACTAGTGTACTGTCTGTAGTTAAATATTGAAATGTCATGGTTTCACCACTCTACCAGCAGTTGAGATCATTTAGAAGGGCTAGGGTGGACATGTTAATATGATTTTCTAGGCTCCTTTTGAAACTGTCAGGCCTTTCACAGGATCTAATCTCAGAGGGTAGTTGGTCCCAAAGTTTGCAATATTTAATGGTGAAGAAGTTAGCCCTGGTGGTGAGCTTATGGGTGTTAACCTTGAGAAGGCAGTTATGGTTGCGTAGTCCATACGATTTAGGATTAGCCCAGGTTATAGACGAGTTACTGTTACAGTGCTTTCTTATAACTTTGAATAAGAGAAATAAATTGCACTTCACTCTCCTTAACCATAAGGGTTCTAAGTCCAGTCGAATACATCTGTCAAGGTATTCTATTTGCTGATCATAACCTAATATGCGTTTCGTGAGGAATCTTTGGACACTTTCAACTTTTTTCTGTCTGCTGATTTAAAGCTACTGTATAAGTGGGCACAGTATTCAAGTTTGGGGCGAATGCATATCTTATATATGGCTAATCTGGCTTCTGGGGTGTAAAAGTTGCGTAGCACAAAGCCGATTAGACGTTTACAATCAGATACCACCTTATTTGCATGTTCAGTAAAGGTAAGATCTGAGTATGTTACCCCGAGATCTGTGACTGTGTTCGTGTTTGAGACAAGGTCACCGTACATGTATAGACACATGCTAGGTTTCCAACGTCCGAAGTATGTTATCCCAGATTTGGCTGGATTGAACATTAACTGCCACTTTTCACTCCAATTACATAGACTATTTAGGTCTTCTTGGATTTTACTAACAATATTCATATCATTATAGTCGAAATCATAGACAACTTTGAGGTCGTCTGCAAAGAGGTATGGCTTGCCATACTTGATCATAGAAACAATATCATTTATGAATACAATGAATAGGGTAGGGCCAAGAACGCTACCTTGTATCACGCCGCTGGTTATCGGTTTGGATGTTGATAAGTGATGGTTGACTTTAACTAACTGTTCTCTTCCTGTAAGAAAAGAAGTTATCCACTCAAGTAGCCTTCCACTTATTCCATAAGATAGGAGTTTCAATATGAGTCTCTTATGTAGGACCTTGTCAAAAGCTTTCCTAACGTCTAGAAATAATGTTGCTGCTGAACGACCTTTGTCTACACACTCAGTAATGTGGTCGAAATAATCTAATTGGCAAGTAATGCACGATCTTCTATTTAGGAAACCGTATTGGAAGGCGGATATTAAGTCATTCGAGAGCAAAAACTGAACAATTTGCTTCTTTATAATCTTTTCCATCACACGTGAAACTACGGAAGTAATGTTGATGGGGCGGTAATTATCTATGTCCGCTATAGGCCCGGTTTTGTGAGATAATTTTACCCGAAGATTTTGCTGTAGAGTATGTCAACGAGTGGAAGTTACTGAATATGAGTTTCCCTACAATTTTAGAGACGAGCGGCATTTGCGAATCTTTGGTTGTGTCACAGTATATCAAGTTACTATTTACTGGGGATGGTAACCAATTCGATGTATGACTATAATTATTCGCAGTGAGGTTGTGCTTAGACTTTCTTCTTCTTTTGATTCTCCGCCACACCTACAAAGTGTGGGGTGGTTTTTTGCACCCTATCCAGACTGTGCCTCAGCCATGCGGTTTTCCGCATCATGTACGTGCCTCATGTCACTGCAAGACTCTTAAATAAAGTCAAGGTGGCGAATTGCGCTTTTCTCACTGAATGCTTAAATGAAAGGCTTATGGTCTATATAGATAATGGATGCTATGTGGTGAAGATGTGTAACGGTTAGATAGATTGCTAAAAACTTTGCCAGAGGTAGAGTGTCTGTTCTAGGGGATTGTTACTTTTATATTAGGATGTGACTCGTTCATACTCTGTCAACCACCTGATTAAGAGCGGCTGCTATTGTCTCATCGGATGAATCCTGCATTAATACAAGGTAAGCACTTATATCAGGACATTTTAGACTGTGACTTCTGCCAGTGCATGTCAGTTGTACAGTTGTATCGGCTGCTTCTTTTAACAGCTGGAAGCCTTTGAGTTTTCCCTTCAACATATCAGTCAGGCCCTGCATGTTCTGTACGCAATAAGGTATAAAATGTCGGTAGAAGTCGACCAACCCCAGATCGCTTCAGAGTGAGGGAATTAGACAGAAGATACTAGCTGATGGCATTCACCCTTTTGAGTATTGGTGCGACTCCAATGCTTTCAGTGATATGCATTAGGGACTCCACTGTTTATGCCTCCAAAGTCATTTTGTCCTCTAGTATGAGCATCACTGACCGTATGTGGTCTTCATGTGTGTTTGTATCCGATCGAGTGATGAGTACGTCATTTATGTACACCTAACACACTTCTTTTATTGCCAGTAGTGGTGACAAACAAAGCTGATCATTGAAGATGTAGATGTAGATGAAGCTTCCTTATTTTCATACGTTTCCTAAGTCCCATACTATTGCTCATCTATTAAACTGCCGGAAGTATTAGCATTAAGCAAAATTCCTCGCTCACAATCTCTGCCAGTTTGTTTTCATTTCGGTTAAGGAAACTCTGGAGTTTAAAGTGACATTTCATGGCTGATAAAATCGAAAATGATATAAACATTTTTCAAGTGCCTACTAGAGTTTCAGCATTTATGGATGTACTAGTTTTCACCGGATATTTCAAGTCGAAAGTCTGTTAATGTTACACCTTTACGACCTGGTAGCGTAGAAGCTAACCGCAGTCTGATAGAGGTTCGAAATTGTGCTCAAATAATAGCGGGACTTGTTAGCTTAAAACACCCGTTTTCATAACTAGGACACCTGGGTGAAATTGTAGTGTATCCGCAACAGAGTAATAACAGAACGTTTATGCTGAATTAGTATTCTTCTTTGTATCTAAGTTATGCCAATACTTTTGGCGTGTTTATCATCTACTGCGAGTATGCTGGAAATGCACTGATTGCGAAAGGAATAATTCTGAGGGTTATTCTCAAAGTGGGAACCCATATCTTCTAGGCTAATAGGCTGACATCCTCTTCCGCAACTGCTAAGTGACACTTCAGAAAATCCTGTCGTCACTACGTGTATTCATTCAGCGACAGAACTTTCCCATAGGTCACATGAAAATTTCAGTCTTCCATACAGACGCTGAGTGCGTCGGTGGCATAGCGGTTAGGACGCTCGCCGACCATGCACATGGTCCGGGGTTCGATTCCCGGCCGACGCACTCCTTTATCTCGCTAAGCCAGAAATAATTCTGGTGAACAGGAAAGTCTGGGCATGAGGCTAGCGAACCCATCCTGTAAAATAAACACTGCTACAAAAACTTCTAGCACTAGCTTGAGGCCCTATGTTCCACTGGGGAAAGTGAAGGAAAAAAATACAAACGCCGAGCGATTCACGCAAAATTCTTAATTTTACTGTTAGTGTCATAAATTCGACATGTATCCCATTTGTATTCGCTAATATTTCATGAAATTTTTCCACCTTACTTATGAAGTTGAGTAACATACTTCCATACTACAACTGCTGTTATTATCTGTGAATCCATTTCATAATCCCACAAGGATTATCAAAAAATACATGCTAAAGAAAGTAGGTTTAGGATACTGTATGGAGGTGATGTCCTATAGTCGGAGTTGATCGATTTCTCTCATGTCGTCGTGCAAGACGATGATGTCCCAGACTGTGAAATAAGAGCATGAGATATATATCATCAAAGATGTCTTGTATCCAAGTGGAGAGGTACAGGAGCTGCATTATTAGATGTAGCACTGGAGCCAAGCAGAAAAGCTTTCATAGTGTAGGTGCAGAAAGGTTTATTAAATCGGAAACCTCGGTAATCCATTACATAAAGCAAGAACTTTGTGCTCAGTAAAAAATTCTACGGTCTCTTTCGTTACCATGGTCTTGATTTTATCATATGATTCATGAAAACCTATCTATCCTTCTTAATTACATGCTGCACTTTTAGTTTTGTTTTGTTACACCTAACTTTATAACATTCTAACATTGTGTTTATTGTATTTCACTTTATTGTCTACACTTCCTGTAGGATTATTTTTATCCTACAGATTTAGTCCTCCCTCAATACTGACAACACAGAGTCTGGGCTTAGCAATAGTTAAAACAGAATAACTTGACTTTAACTTTATCTGTTTCTAAAACATAAAATAAACCATACAATTACACCAAGAAAAATGTACAAATCCATTGTCATTACAAAAATAGGACAAAAACGTACCGAACAGTATTGAAGGTACGGACAAAATGAACAGTCAATTAATTACATGTATATACAAGTAAAGTGACAGACAAAAAAGAACATTCAAGGTCATCACGTGGTGAGAGTTACAATAAATCGACCAATAATCGCGACAAAGAGGTCACATAATATTGATTGGCTGTTTATCATACAGTCTATCTATCTATCGCGATTAACACTCCCCGCGAACGATCACCACGTTGACCTTTCGTACGCTTCTTATATCTTGTTCCACTTCTTGAGTTGAAGTTTTCAAACACACTGTCCTGACGTGGCCATCTTGCTCATAGTACATCTGCTTAACTATAGCCTTTCGCCAGAGACCTCTCTGTGTGTCAGCACTGTTAACTAAGACGAGATCATCAGGTTGTAGGTTGTGCTTTATATCCAACCACTTAGATCTTGTTTGCAGCATCAGAAGATATCCACGTAGCCATTTATGCCAGAGCAAATCAGACAAATATTTTGGAAGTAGTTGACTATAGTGTTGGAAGAAAGCATATCCATACATAGCATTCGTTTTACCTTTGTAATATTGTAATTTTCCTAAGAATTCACCAATTGCTGAACGAGCCACAGTTAAAGGTCTTTTTGGATCCAAGGAAATACACAAATCAAATGCATCGTCCTCACCGACTACTTTATGTGTACGTCCCATAGAATCGTCAGCTTCAATCAAAACTCGCAGAATCGCATAACGAGCAGAACAGTGTGCTTGACACCATGATCCAATGTCATCAGCATTTTCTGCTGGAGAATAAAACTCCATGGAAGTTACAACTGAAGGAATCATTGACAACCAATTCATGTAGACTACATCTGGGACATCGCCTTGAGCACAGTTGGTATTCAAACCGAACTGCTCCAGAACAAGAGGTAAATCAGATAAATAAATTCCAACGCACTCAGCTCGACACTTATCTATTGCAGATGGAAGGTTTGGAAACTTGCTGTCATACGTTTCTCCTGGTTCACACCAACTTTTTACAGGACCTCCATTTATGACATACTCAGTAGTTTTCGTGTGGAAATTTCGTTTTCCATAACAATCACGCCGAAACAGTTTGCCAGAATCATATCCCATCAGTTCATGAAGTCCAACTTGTAATTCAAAGGAACTTTCAGCATGTTCCACGTACATTTGTTTATCTTCATTACGTAGAAATTCTGGTTTAGGATCCTCAAGACGAACACTAAGTACATTATCCAAAGAAACATTTTTAAATCCATCAACTTGTCGTACATCATCATAGTTAGAAATATTAGTTCCAACAGGAATTCCAGCAGTTGTAAACGTCACTATATCCAAACTAGTAAAGTCTGACTGTAAGAAATTAACTTTTTCAAACGTAGAGGGCCATGGTAAACTTGTCAACAACCTTTCAGCATTATTCACAAGTCGTTGGAATTTTTTAGACACTGATCTATTTACAACAGCGACAAATGATTCAAACCTTGCACGAACACCAAAGGGATCACGGTATGACTCTATAAACCCAATATACTTTTCAACAACAGGGTTCTTATCTTTAACCCATAACCTGAAGGCATCTTTGTGAGTGGCTACTGAGCCAGTAGTGAAGCTTTCAGCAAACTGATGCCACATTTCTGATTCGATTTGGTTAAGCGAATGTGCTTTAAAATCTTTACAACAATCGACTAGTAACTTCATCAGCTCACCATAGTCACCATATTCAAGCTGCAAAGATGTGTCCGAGGGAAGGGCACCTCTTAACTTCTCACGACGTTGACTTAGAGGGATTTGCAGGTCATGGTAACGTTGGGCTAACTGTCTTTGTTTTTCTTGGATAATAGGAGCGTCGAAATGACTTTCTGCAGCAAGCGTGTCAGCCTGGACTTTGAATGCATCTATACGTTCACGATGAGTAGCTACATCAGATTCAAGCAAGTTGTGCCGCTTTTGTGCGTTCATCACACCGTTTAGATCACGACCGACATCCTCTGAGGCTATATGAGCTTCAACTTCATTCAACCATAACTCGACATCTTCTACGTTGCGAGCGAACTGTTGTTGCCTACTTGCTTGATCTAAATTTTTCTTCTTGTCTCCCATGGCATTTACGAGATGAGACCGAGTTTCATCCAACTGTTCAATCTCTACTTTTATTTCTGGTGAGTTGTAGTGGTTTGCATTTAACAAACCTTGACCTGTCTTTTTAATATCTTCAACGCGGGATTTGTTCGCTTGTATTTTTGCCTCAAAACTCTGATGCTTCTGCACCTTTGTTTGCAAATTCGTGGAGTCTTTGTAACTTTCATCAAGTGCATTTCTAAGTTTTCCTGATATCCATGACTGCATTTCATCTGAATCTCTATCGAACATTTGGTAACGGTGGGAATCTTCAGGAAGCTGACGGCGGTTCTGAGCTTTCTCCTTTAATGCATTTCGTCTATTTTGAAGACCTTCCTGAATCTCATGAACCTGCGCAGCGGCATAGTGGTTTGATTCGATTAATTTTGCAGCGAATTCATCAAGTTGTCGCATCTTTTCTTCTTGTTCTAAAAGTGACTTTTCGAAGTCTTCATGTTTCCTTATAAGTGCTTCCACAGAATCGAGTGAGTCTCCCCCATCATTTATTTCTAGGAGGGCCTCTTGCTTACCAATCCAAGATTCCGACTGTTCAGCGTCGCGGTAAAAATACTGAAGGCCCATACACTGTTCTAGCTGTTCACGTCTTTCCTCACACAACTGCATCAGGGAGGCTCTCTCTCTTTCAAGGGTGGAAAGTTTAGCAACTATGTCTTCATTACAGGGATGGCCAACACTTAGTAATGCCTGACCTTCTTGCATGCAAGTATCGAAACTTTCAGCTCGAGAATTTATCTCAGCGGTGTATTCCTTATGTCGTTCTACTTGGGCTTCAGCACCAACTACATCCTTTGCCAAATCATCCGCCAATATTGACGTCTTCATTTCATCCATCCAGATACTCACGTCTCTCCAGTCAGCCGAAAAGCGATGCATCTTGAATGACTCTTCCAGTTTACCTCTCCTACCTACAGCCTGACTTTTCAGCTTATCCCATGCAGTAATTAATTCGTCATACTTGCCTTGTATAGTGTCTTGCGAATCAGGATGCTTCTGTGCAAGCGCCTTAGCCTCATCTCCAAGTCGAACAATCTTTTCATCTGAGGCAGTCAAATCCCTTTCTAATGCTTCGTGCTTCCTTTGTAAGGCTTGGACTGAGGCAAGATCACGACCACAATCCTCAATGGATAAAGGAATGGACTTTTCATTCACCCACGATATAGCTCTATCTATGTCTCTAAAGAAGCACTGTATCTCATAGGCTTCCAGGAGCTTTTCTTGTCGTTTTCTAACCAGATCCTTCAGACGTTCTAGAGCTTCGCGGACCTGTCTGAACTTTTCTATGACTAGGGCATCCTCAGGAAATTTCTCTTTTAGAAGTTCATCTGCCTTCCGATAGATGTCTTCGACACGACTTTCTTGATTCTCGAGATCTTTTGTAAACTCATTAAACCCTTTTTGAAGTGTCTCAACATCTTCCAAGTCTTGACCTAAATCCTCTGATGTTACGTAAGTTTCGTTTTCACGTATCCAGAAAAGTATTTCGTCGACTTGGCGTAAAAACTGGACAAATTTAAGCTTTAGGTTAATGACACTGGATTTTTCTCTGAAAATAGCCATAAGCCTTTCCCACAGGGCATGCAATTCATCAAGACGGTTTTTGATAATATCTGTTGCGAAGTGTCCCTGACCAATCATTTCTTCTCCCGTAGAATCTAGAGCTGAGAGTGTTTCAGCATGAACTGTTACTTCGAACTCAAACTCTTGATGTTTCTGTTTTTTCAGCTGAAGATTACTGACTTCTTTAAAATCCTCATTTGTATATGTTTGCAGTTTTTCATTGATCCAACACTCAAGTTCATCGGCATTCCACTTAAAATATTGATATGCTTTAAGCATGTCCAGAAACTTAGATATGGTTTTGGCGGACTCATCATTAGGAGATACAGCGACATTATGGGAAGTAGAAGGTTTGTAAGGCGATTTATTGTGACAAGAACATTCGCGTCTACCTTGTCGTAATCTTTCTAATTCCATTTCTTTCTCCTTTTGGACTATGCGCAATTTCGCTAGCTCCAATTCTACCATATAGCGTGATTCATACTCGTTGCTTCCAGTGAAATCAGCTTCATTACTCTTTCCTAATTGTGGAGTTAACGACGGCATAGTTTCATAACTTTTGTCTGCCATACTGTTCGAAACTTTCGTCTGGAATACTGTTCGAAACTTTGTAGGATTATTTTTATCCTACAGATTTAGTCCTCCCTCAATACTGACAACACAGAGTCTGGGCTTAGCAATAGTTAAAACAGAATAACTTGACTTTAACTTTATCTGTTTCTAAAACATAAAATAAACCATACAATTACACCAAGAAAAATGTACAAATCCATTGTCATTACAAAAATAGGACAAAAACGTACCGAACAGTATTGAAGGTACGGACAAAATGAACAGTCAATTAATTACATGTATATACAAGTAAAGTGACAGACAAAAAAGAACATTCAAGGTCATCACGTGGTGAGAGTTACAATAAATCGACCAATAATCGCGACAAAAAGGTCACATAATATTGATTGGCTGTTTATCATACAGTCTATCTATCTATCGCGATTAACACTCCCCGCGAACGATCACCACGTTGACCTTTCGTACGCTTCTTATATCTTGTTCCACTTCTTGAGTTGAAGTTTTCAAACACAGTGTCCTGACGTGGCCATCTTGGTCATAGTACATCTGCTTAACTATAGCCTTTCGCCAGAGACCTCTCTGTGTGTCAGCACTGTTAACTAAGACGAGATCATCAGGTTGTAGGTTGTGCTTTATATCCAACCACTTAGATCTTGTTTGCAGCATCAGAAGATATCCACGTAGCCATTTATGCCAGAGCAAATCAGTCAAATATTTTGGAAGTAGTTGACTATAGTGTTGGAAGAAAGCATATCCATACATAGCATTCGTTTTACCTTTGTAATATTGTAATTTTCTTAAGAATTCACCAATTGCTGAACGAGCCACAGTTAAAGGCCTTTTTGGATCCAAGGAAATACACAAATCAGATGCATCGTCCTCACCGACTACTTTATGTGTACGTCCCATAGAATCGTCAGCTTCAATCAAAACTCGCAGAATCGCATAACGAGCACAATAATGTGCTTGACACCATGATCCAATGTCATCAGCATTTTCTGCTGGAGAATAAAACTCCATGGAAGTTACAACTGAAGGAATCATTGACAACCAATTAATATAGACTACATCTGGGACATCGCCTTGAGCACAGTTGGTATTCAAACCGAACTGCTCCAGAACAAGAGGTAAATCAGATAAATAAATTCCAACGCACTCAGCTCGACACTTATCTATTGCAGATGGAAGGTTTGGAAACTTGCTGTCATACGTTTCTCCTGGTTCACACCAACCTTTTACAGGACCTCCATTTATGACATATTCAGTAGTTTTCGTGTGGAAATTTCGTTTTCCATAACAATCACGCCGAAACAGTTTACCAGAATCATATCCCATCAGTTCATGAAGTCCAACTTGTAATTCAAAGGAACTTTCAGCATGTTCCACGTACATTTGTTTGTCTTCATTACGTAGAAATTCTGGTTTAGGATCCTCGAGACGAACACTAAGTACATTATCCAAAGAAACATTTTTAAATCCATCAACTTGTCGTACATCATCATAGTTAGGAATATTAGTTCCAACAGGAATTCCAGCAGTTGCAAACGTCACTACATCCAAACTAGTAAAGTCTGGCTGTAAGAAATTAACTTTTTCAAACGTAGAAGGCCATGGTAAACTTGTTAACAACCTTTCAGCATTATTCACAAGTCGTTGGAATTTTTTAGACACTGATCTATTTACAACAGCGACAAATGATTCAAACCTTGCACGAACACCAAAGGGATCACGGTATGACTCTATAAACCCAATATACTTTTCAACAACAGGGTTCTTATCTTTAACCCATAACCTGAAGGCATCTTTGTGAGTGGCTACTGAGCCAGTAGTGAAGCTTTCAGCAAACTGATGCCACATTTCTGATTCGATTTGGTTAAGCGAATGTGCTTTAAAATCTTTACAACAATCGACTAGTAACTTCATCAGCTCACTATAGTCACCATATTCAAGCTGCAAAGATGTGTCCGAGGGAAGGGCATCTCTTAACTTCTCACGACGTTGACTTAGAGGGATTTGCAGGTCATGGTAACGTTGGGCTAACTGTCTTTGTTTTTCTTGGATAATAGGAGCGTCGAAATGACTTTCTGCAGCAAGCGTGTCAGCCTGGACTTTGAATGCATCTATACGTTCACGATGAGCAGCTACATCAGATTCAAGCAAGTTGTGCCGCTTTTGTGCGTTCATCACACCGTTTAGATCACGACCGACATCCTCTGAGGCTATCTGAGCTTCAACATCATTCAACCATAACTTGACATCTTCTACGTTGCGAGCGAACTGTTGTTGCCTACTTGCTTGATCTAAATTTTTCTTCTTGTCTCCCATGGCATTTACGAGATGAGACCAAGTTTCATCCAACTGTTCAATCTTTACTTTTATTTCTGGTGAGTTGTAGTGGTTTGCATTTAACAAATCCTGACCTGTCTTTTTAATATCTTCAACGCGGGATTGGTTCGCTTGTATTTCTGCCTCAAAACTCTGATGCTTCTGCACCTTTGTTTGCAAATTCGTGGAGTCTTTGTAACTTTCATCAAGTGCATTTCTAAGTTTTCCTGATATCCATGACTGCATTTCATCTGCATCTCTATCGAACATTTGGTAACGGTGGGAATCTTCAAGACGCTGACGGCGGTTCTGAGCTTTCTCCTTTAATGCATTTCGTCTAATTTGAAGACCTTCCTGAATCTCATGAACCTGTGCAGCCGCATAGTGGTTTGATTCGATTAATTTTGCAGCGAATTCATCAAGTTGTCGCATCTTTTCTTCTTGTTCTAAAAGTGACTTTTCGAAGTCTTCATGTTTCCTTATAAGTGCTTCCACAGAATCGAGTGAGTCTCCCACATCATTTATTTCTAAGAGGGCCTCTTGCTTACCAATCCAAGATTCCGACTGTTCAGCGTCGCGGTAAAAATACTGAAGGCCCATACACTGTTCTAGCTGTTCACGTCTTTCCTCACACAACTGCATCAGGGAGGCTCTCTCTCTTTCAAGGGTGGAAAGTTTAGCAACTATGTCTTCATTACAGGGATGGCCAACACTTAGTAATGCCTGACCTTCTTGCATGCATGTATCGAAACTGTCAGCTCGAGAATTTATCTCAGCGGTGTATTCCTTATGTCGCTCTACTTGGGCTTCAGCACCAACTACATCCTTTGCCAAATCATCCGCCAATATTGACGTCTTCATTTCATCCATCCAGATACTCACGTCTCTCCAGTCAGCCGAAAAGCGATGCATCTTGAATGACTCTTCCAGTTTACCTCTCCTACCTACAGCCTGACTTTTCAGCTTATCCCATGCAGTAATTAATTCGTCATACTTGCCTTGTATAGTGTCTTGCGAATCAGGATGCTTCTGTGCAAGCGCCTTAGCCTCATCTCCAAGTCGAACAATCTTTTCATCTGAGGCAGTCAAATCCCTTTCTAATGCTTCGTGCTTCCTTTGTAAGGCTTGGACTGAGGCAAGATCACGACCACAATCCTCAATGGATAAAGGAATGGACTTTTCATTCACCCACGATATAGCTCTATCTATGTCTCTAAAGAAGCACTGTATCTCATAGGCTTCCAGGAGCTTTTCTTGTCGTTTTCTAACCAGATCCTTCAGACGTTCTAGAGCTTCGCGGACCTGTCTGAACTTTTCTATGACTAGGGCATCCTCAGGAAATTTCTCTTTTAGAAGTTCATCTGCCTTCCGATAGATGTCTTCGACACGACTTTCTTGATTCTCGAGATCTTTTGTAAACTCATTAAACCCTTTTTGAAGTGTCTCAACATCTTCCAAGTCTTGACCTAAATCCTCTGATGTTACGTAAGTTTCGTTTTCACGTATCCAGAAAAGTATTTCGTCGACTTGGCGTAAAAACTGGACAAATTTAAGCTTTAGGTTAATGACACTGGATTTTTCTCTGAAAATAGCCATAAGCCTTTCCCACAGGGCATGCAATTCATCAAGACGGTTTTTGATAATATCTGTTGCGAAGTGTCCCTGACCAATCATTTCTTCTCCCGTAGAATCTAGAGCTGAGAGTGTTTCAGCATGAACTGTTACTTCGAACTCAAACTCTTGATGTTTCTGTTTTTTCAGCTGAAGATTACTGACTTCTTTAAAATCCTCATTTGTATATGTTTGCAGTTTTTCATTGATCCAACACTCAAGTTCATCGGCATTCCACTTAAAATATTGATATGCTTTAAGCATGTCCAGAAACTTAGATATGGTTTTGGCGGACTCATCATTAGGAGATACAGCGACATTATGGGAAGTAGAAGGTTTGTAAGGCGATTTATTGTGACAAGAACATTCGCGTCTACCTTGTCGTAATCTTTCTAATTCCATTTCTTTCTCCTTTTGGACTATGCGCAATTTCGCTAGCTCCAATTCTACCATATAGCGTGATTCATACTCGTTGCTTCCAGGGAAATCAGCTTCATTACTCTTTCCTAATTGTGGAGTTAACGACGGCATAGTTTCATAACTTTTGTCTGCCATACTGTTCGAAACTTTCGTCTGGAATACTGTTCGAAACTTTGTAGGATTATTTTTATCCTACAGATTTAGTCCTCCCTCAATACTGACAACACAGAGTCTGGGCTTAGCAATAGTTAAAACAGAATAACTTGACTTTAACTTTATCTGTTTCTAAAACATAAAATAAACCATACAATTACACCAAGAAAAATGTACAAATCCATTGTCATTACAAAAATAGGACAAAAACGTACCGAACAGTATTGAAGGTACGGACAAAATGAACAGTCAATTAATTACATGTATATACAAGTAAAGTGACAGACAAAAAAGAACATTCAAGGTCATCACGTGGTGAGAGTTACAATAAATCGACCAATAATCGCGACAAAAAGGTCACATAATATTGATTGGCTGTTTATCATACAGTCTATCTATCTATCGCGATTAACACTTCCCTTATCTTATGTTTCTATCGTATTACATTCACATAATCACTCCCGAACGTATTTCATATAAGTCTATAGAAATTTTTTTGACTTTTATTTATTCTTTCAAATATCTAATTAGTTGGTTACATTCACTTATTCCATTATTATCACACTTTAGTATTCCCACTCACTGTCAAACTTTAACACATAAGAAAAGTGATTGTTATCGTAATTCATACATAAATATGACTCTACAGTGGGGAAAATGAATAGTCGAAAAGATCATTTCCTTCGCTGAAGTAATTATTTTATAAGGGTTCCTAAAGCATTATCCCTAACGTCCCATGACATTTATTTATAAGATGTAGCGAGAGCAAATACGGTCATACACTTTACACATAGACAGTTAGGTGCACTCACTTCTGAGCTCTTTCTAAGGTTGTACAAAACATACGTCAGGCCAAACCTTGAAGTGCATAATATTATTACACCTTCACTGCTTAGAAGAGACGCCAACCTCTTGGAAAGAGTCCAACGAAGGGCAACAAAAGGAGTGGTTGGTCTCCGAAATAAACCATATGATGAAAGGCTAAAGAAATTAGGCCTATTCACACTCAGCAACCTTCTGCTTAAGGAGGATTTGATTGCTATCTACACGGTCGCAAATGACCAGAATCACCAAAACAAAGGTGTTATGCCATTGAGTAGGTATAGGCTCCCTCGTGGAAATCCTAGAAGGATAGCGCATCAGAGGGCAAGGACCCGGGTGTGCTCGCACTTCTTTTCCTTGCGTGTTTGCCGTCCCTGGAATTCCTTACCGGCGGATGTAGCTATGGCACCGTCTGTGGACACCTTTAAGCGAAGGCTGGACAACCATGCAGCGACACAAGGACTGCATCCAAATGGCCTATCCTCTTAAAATCGCATACACAATTCAAGGGTAGACAATGAAACTTGTCGTTTTACTTCTTTACATTCTCTCCCGTCTTACTCTCCTGACAGCTTTAATTACACCTATTAATTATTACCGGTATATATATATTATTCATATTATTCTTCAAATTTAATCAGCTGACTGCTGTTACGTTTTCTTATTCTTTTTCTGTCTGTTAGTCTGAATAACTTCACTAATTATATCTATTGTTATTATCTCTTTTCTTTTGACGACGATACCGAAGGACCAACTGGTGAAAGGATCAACTCCATTCACAGTAGTAACAGTCTTAACACACCTCATTCTACAAACCACATACAATTAATCCCTGCACTACTCCTTTTGGAGTCAACCAAAGCTACGACAGTCGAGTGGCGGGACGAGCTACGCAGAAGTTTATCGAAGATCAGGAACCTATACCTCACAATCAAGAGGCGAGCACAAAGAAATCAAATTGGTTTATACTAGCTCGTAAAAACGATATTGGATATTGGAAGTCTGTGCTTCACTTAAAAGTTATTTACGGCTAATTGTTTTCTTAGATGATCATGAATTCACAATATTGAAAAATTAATCGTAACATCCTCACTCAAATAATGAGTAAAGAGCAAAATGTTGAATCGAGGATTATGTGCTGATTTAAAAGTTTACCCTACGGCGCACACGTGAATTGAGGGATGACGCTGGAGTCCGTTTCGAAGAAAGCTGAGGATTTTAAAGAAGAAGCTAATAAGTTTTTCAAAGGTATGGCATCTGCGAAGCGATCATTCTTTAATTTGATGGTATATCTTACTAATATCTGAACCTTCAGATGGAGAATACGATAAAGCCATTGACGCCTACACGAAGGCGATAGAGATTCAAGAGTCTGCTGTTTATCTGTCTAACAGAAGTCTTGCATACCTACGCATTGAATGTTTTGGCTACGCCTTAGATGATGCCTCAAGGGCAATCGCTTTGGATAGTTCCTACGTAAAGGTATGCAGCCCTTACTTTGTTTGTGTATTTTCAGGGTTACTACCGCAGAGCGTCTGCACATATGGCATTAGGTCAGTATAAAGAAGCTTTGGCAGATTATGAAACTGTAAGCAGGCCGAGTTTTAAACGATTTGTTTTGAATCACTAAAAATAATTACTTCATACATTTTATTTTCATGCCATCTATTTTATTTATTGCTATGATGTTTTTTAAGTATAGTAGTATGGAAATTTATACTTATGAGTTTTATGCTGTGATTATGTCACCCTCACATGCAGTCGTGTTTGACAGTTAGCATATTTTTTCAATACACAGGATAGAGGTGCTTTAAAGCACTTCGTTAGTGAGACGTGGTTCTCGTTTTAAAGAGTAATAAATAAATTATATGAAAGTTAAGTGTGCATTGAGTATGATTAACTATCACTTCTGAGGTTATACCGTTGAATCTACATATTCATTGTACAAATGGTTTGTCGCTGGTGTAAGGTAGGAATCTCCATTAATCGGATGTAAAAATCGGACGGAGTTGTTGCCAAGATGTACATCGTTCTATAACACAATAATATTCTTGAATATTTATCTCAGCATTGTCCGCTCTACTACTGTGGTCGTCTAGTCAACTTCTAACCTGGAAACCCGTACATCTCTACTTGACGTAGATCAACAGTACATCTTGTTTTGGTCAGCATTAAGTTCACTTTTAACGTACTCCCATGTAATCTAAGGTTTGCTTGTCGCGACGGACGGTCGATCGAATTACCTGACCCATTCTGTCAAATTGTCATTATTTTGTACTAATTTTTTCTCGTGTACGTAGCTGTTCACTCGCTACCTTTGAATGCCATATGGATTGTTGCAACTGGAACTGCTGCACCCGTGTGCGAAGTTCTACGTTGAGAATTCATTCAGTCGTGGCACATTCCGAGCAGTTAAAGTAATGATCAGCAACTTTTAAAACCGCTCTGATAATTTATAGAAATTAGTATGCGATAATAGATTATTTTTAGTTACACATAAAGGGGATAGCATTTGTCTCTCGGTTTTATATATGACGAGTTTTGTCCTATTATGCAGCATGAAATTCTCCCCCCCAACTACTTTACATAATAACCGTCTTAAAGTGAGTTCCTTCTTTCTAATAAGGTTATTCGAGTTGCTCCTGGTGACAAAACGGCTCGTGAAAAGCTGACAGAATGTCAAAAAATAATTCGCCGTAAAGCATTTGAAAAAGCTATCGCTGTAGAAGATCAACCTTCTCCGTTAGAATCTTTTGACCCAGCATCTATCACTGTGGAGGCCGGTTACGATGGTCCTCATTTGGAGCAAGATAACAAGGGAAAGTACACCGTCACAGAATCTTTCATGTTGGCTTTAATGGAACATTATAAGTCTCAAAAGGTGCTACACCGGAAGTATGCCATGATAGTAAGTAAATTTTGAATCTTTCCGTGTCTCTGTTTGTACTTGGATGTAAATAGTTATTCGTTTAATCAGTGATCCCCATTCTAACTTGTAGTGTGCGAAGCTTCTCTTTGTGTCTAATCGAGTGGAATTGAGGTTAAATCTGAAGGTTTACAGTGTACACTTTATTTTCAAAGTGTAACATACCACCGTTTGCTTTGATGAACTTAGTAAGTAGTCAAAAATGAAGAAAAACGTGAAACATGATTGACTGAGTTTTTTGTTTATTCAGTCATTTCCCAATTTTCGTTTCACAAATTGAGTAATACTATAAATCAAGCAGTAGAAGGGATTCGTAACTATCTGTGTGCATGCTTTTACTGGGTCGGTTTAATGTAAAACTGGAATTATTAGATCGACAATGTCAAACAACTTCCCAGTTTCATTTGTAAATTTTTTTTAAAGACTTCACAATATTATTTATATGGTAATTGTAAACACAATCTTTACAGTTCATCAGTAGTAACATCACCTTCCAGGTGTAGAGATGTTATGTTTGCTCCGTGATCAATATATTCCGCACATAATTGTTCCAATACGAATCATCATAGTAACTAAATCACTTTCTGTTTTATATCACGTATTTCAAAGGTCTGAAAGTTACATGTGGATATTAACTTCACTTTCTCTTCTCTACAGTTCTTACTATGAATTTATTTTTTAGATAATGCAAGACATTTTCTTGTTCTTCCGGAAGTTGCCAAGTTTAGTGGAGATTGACGTCCCAGATGAATCTAAATTTACTGTTTGTGGTGATATACATGGTCAGTTTTATGACCTTATGAATATATTCGAAATTAACGGGTTGCCGAGCAAAGATAATCCCTATGTAAGCGTGTTTACTTTATAGATTGTTTACGTAGCTATTCAATGGTGACTTTGTTGATCGAGGATCATTTTCTGTGGAATGTATTTTCACTTTATTCGGGTTTAAACTTCTTTATCCAGACAAATTTTACTTATCCAGAGGTAAGTGACTAGTACGTTATCATCTGATGATTTTTACCATAATATTCCACTACGTCGTCAGGTGGTTAATACTTTTAATCTGCAATTTAGGTAATCACGAATCCGAACACATGAATAGATTGTATGGTTTCGAGGGTGAGGTTAAATCAAAGTATTCATCCCAGATGGCCAACATGTTCACGGACATATTCAACTGGTTGCCATTATGTCACCTCATTAATGGGAAAATTCTGGTGAGTTACTTGAGTATTCAAACAGTTTTTTCATTTGACAGTTGAACATTACTATAGAACTAGTACCTAGTGAATCATATTGAAGTTAACAGAAAGCCTGAGTGGTAACCTCAGCTGCTGTTTCCCTGTCGGTAATAATCTGTCAGTGAAAATCATGCTGAAGTTTTTAGTTAGAATCACCTGTTTCTATTTATTTATTTATTTAAACGCAGAAAAACTTGGTACAATATGGCACCAAGAAAGATGCGTCACACAATAATAATAAAACAACATAGATTAGAAGTAAAAATATAAGTAGAAAACGGATAAATAACTTCATCAGGAAGGAAAACAGTCATGTTTAACAAGTTCAAACATAATTCGTTAACTATCATCAGGAAGGGAAGAAAGAAGGAAATTGCAACACGACACAGATAGGCTAGGAATCCAGACAAAGGCGAAAGGCTGTCGAAGGTTAAGAAGTCAAGGTGAGCAAAGGTAAAATACAGGAAATCGGGACATCATTATTGCTTGAACGCATTGTTACGAGCGCGCAATAAGTTTCACTGATATTGTGTTGCTTTATTTCATTCATTGTGTGAGGGCTGAGATACTGCCCGGGTGCCCAGACCGAAGCAGATGGTTTTCTTAAGGGACCACACCCCGAGCCTTTGACTTGGAGTCTAACCCACAAGGCAGCGGAGCAGCGTTAGGTGCTGCGTTCCCATGGTTGCCGGTGACCCATATGGGTTCGTACGCCATTTGATCCGATTGGATTCTGGAGCCCATGTACCCCATGGTAACTGCTTTTAGTCTAACCGCTATCCAAACAACCTTCCTGGCATGGTAGGACCTGCAGGGACATGAGTCCCAGCCAGTTTAGCTTGTTGGGTCACTGCGGCATTCAAGCCCAACCACCACGGCAAGGTAGCAGTTATCGGCCGGGAGTTTCTAATTAATGTATGATTAATTAATGTTTCTAATTAATGTGTGTTTTGTGTTGTATGAATTCAGTATTCATTTCAAACGTAAGGGTTTAATACAAGAATAGAAGTTTATGTCTATCACATCTAACTGTACAGTGAAGGGTTAAAAAAATGCATAGCTTAAATTGAGCGTAATAGCAGTTTTATACCGTTACAAGCCATGAAGATAGTCGTGTATTTGAGCCAATGTTTAATTACTCGTTATGAGGCAAGAGCAGTTATAAAATAGCAAATGCTAGTGGAAAGTATTTCAGCTTAAGTTAATTTTTCAATACTGCTGCTAATCATCCCTAGTTGCAGAAGTTCACCAGTGGAATGGATGCTTTACAAATGCATCTTCGAGTTGTCTCTATTTACTACTGGACCCTAAAGTCGGTGACTCATAGTAGAAGTAACATTTTAGTAAAAACAGCTCCGTAACATGTCAGAGTGCAACCGGTATAATAATTATTTTTTGAACACTAGTGTTCTTTATCGTCACACTTACTTGCATGAATCCATCATTGTGGTTAGTTATTCGTGAAATACTCATCTGTATTTTTTATATATTGATCGAACTTCATTTTAAAAGGTGATGCACGGGGGACTGTTTGAACGTGATAATGTAACCTTAGATGAAATAAAGAAGGTTTCCAGAAATCGTCAACCTGACGAAGGCACTATTATGTGTGAGTTGTTATGGTCTGATCCAATGGAAGCTAAGGGTCGAACACACTCAAAGCGTGGAGTTGGCTGTCAGTTTGGTCCTGATGTTACTGAAAATTTCTGTAAAGCCAATGGTTTGGATTATATTATACGAAGTCACGAGGTAAATTGTACTGATTGTTTTTAATTTCATTGGAAATATGATTAAACTGTATGATTTACTTTTACTGGGTTCCATGTTGGGCTTTTTTGCATCGAGAGTTAAACTGGTTAAGATTTCCTTCAGGTTGCAATTTTCCATGTTCACTTTTACATGCTATTTTGAACTAAGATCGTAAACTTCGCAAACGTGATTATAATGATTATCACTTCAGAATTTCGAGTTTTAAAGTAATCTGTCCACTTAAAATAAGCATTAATTTTTGAGGGCTAATATTTCACGTAGAGAATCATTGCTCAATAGTGTGTTGTTAGACTTAATTATTTTTTAACCTCATCAAAAATGCATTTCAGTTGACCCATTTACTTCAATTTCCCTCATATATCAGAAAACAAGTTGTTGACCAATTTTCCCGTAATTTACCTTTTTGTATTATTATTATTCTAGGTAAAGGATGAGGGGTATGAAGTCGCCCACAATGGTCGTTGTGTCACAGTTTTTTCAGCGCCAAACTATTGTGATACAATGCGTAATCGTGGAGCTTTCATCACACTAAAAGGAAGTCGAAAACCTAATGGAATGCCACCGAAGTTTACCAGTTTCAAAGAAGTACCTCATCCAGATGTGCGCCCAATGGCTTATGTAAACCCACTGCTTTCTATGTTTATGTGATTTTCACACTACTATTTCTTATATTGTGCCTTATATAGTGACTAAATTATCTTTTACTGTTGGCCTGACAATTGTATCAGCCATTCACTGTACACATTAAATGGTCACATCTTACCATTTACATTACTCAATTTAAGTTGGCTCACCTTCAGGCCAGAGATTCATTCATATACACATGCATTTTCAATTCTATTATTACTATGAGAAAGTGTAAAAATCGTTATTCTCATTTCTAAAAGTTATTACTATTATTGTTATCATCATTATCATCATCAGTCTTTTTCTTAAACTTATCGAAGTTACTTCCTCATTCCGCTAACTACCGGTTGTCATTGTATTAGGAATTATTTTTTGCAAGTATATTTCCTGAGCCCACTAGGCTTCATTTGTTTTTTTTCCAGTTAAATGTATCGTGTTTCAATAGAGGAAGAAAAAATATAAAGAAATAATTTGTAAATTGTTCTGAAATATTTCATTGTGTTCTGTCGTGTTTCTTCTGCAATAATAAACTGTGGAGAGGGGTTAGTAAGGGGATAGAATACAACACAGCATTCTTCATATCGTTATTATTATTATCAACTATAGTTTGAGCATGTGTGTTAATATTTTTTATCACATGGGATCAGTTGTGGATTAGCTCCAAGAAACTGTTGTGGTTGATTTGTATGTCTTATTGGTATTATTTGGTTGTGGTTAGACTGGATTTTAGCCTTACTCTTTACATGAATACATGCGAAACATGGTGTCATTAGTGAGTATTCTACACAACCTTGAGATCGTCTCTAAACTCTTATTTTTATCGAAATTGGATTATATGTGTATCCATTAATTCACTTATAGTTTATCAGATGGACAGTGTTGATTGAAACAATGAGCCTTTCATTTACGCTTACAAATAAAAGTTGTGACTTGTTGTTTTGCAGACAGTCGATGTTACACAGGAAAAATTTGTTCTGAGTTCCAACTAACTAATCCAGTACATTTGAATTTCTAGTCTTGTTTCACATACTTCGAGATGGATACTTAGGTAGGTCATGGTCTAATACAAAGAAGCCAGTACTACATTGTACTGTAGTATAATGAAATAACTGTTATATGATACGTAAGGCTCTCGATGAATATTAAAATCTGGTACATTGTACGCTATAATGATATAGTAGTGTTAATTAGTTATAAATTCTGTAAGCTGTTATTAATTTCAATACACTCTTCTTGGAGATTTATGATATTAATGACGTTGTATAGTAATATTACGGCATGTGCTACTGATAAGATTTCTCAGTAGTATGTAGCGGGACGTTCATTGGCATAAAAATATCAAATAGCGGAGAAATAGATTTGACGTCAAAGAGAGCAAATGATTCAGCTTTGCGGCAAAGCATGGGAGACACGGAAAGAAGACAAATAAACACAATACGAAGGGAGCAGAAGTAGCACAACACCGAAGATTTGTGCAATTGATGATTTGGAGATAAGGTGTACATAATTTCGCTATGTAGAGATATCGACTTCCTAATAAACATTCTTTTACCAAGTCTCTTGTCTTCTACTGTTACGATATATCATATCTTAATATTTCTCTGAGCTTATTTTGAGTGTGTTCAGTTAGGTAGTAAAGTATTTGGAGGTTTTTTTTGGTGAGTATTTGCAATCATCACATACTAGTGTAGCATCAGAACACAGTGGTAATTTGGGAGCGGAACTGTATATTGTCAAATTGATGTATAGATATGGCAAAATACAAATACCTGACATTGAGATCTCCATTCGCATATGTTTCCTATATTGTTCTTTTCGTTGTTTCTCTCAAGGGTCTTTCATATCTCCTCTCTGCCATTTAATCCATCCCTCCGTTATTCAGTATCTTTGTAGAAGACATCACAAAATATACTACTTATTATTATTTTTATTTACTGCGGCTATCTCCTACGGGAGGATGAGCCGGATTCATGAACATGAGTTCATGAGGTTTCATGGGAATTTGGTACGAGTGATGTCCACAGAATCGCTCGGCCTTTTGTTTGAGAGTGCAGCTCTAGCCTTTGCACAACCAAGTGTGACCTACAAGGCAGTAGGAGTGGAGTAGGGAGTCCACTATCCATTGGCCGCCGGTGAACGGAGTTCGGTTCATACGCCTTTTTGAATGGGGCCAGACATCCAACAAGCCCTTTGTCCATACGTCTGCCGGTGAGCTCCAGTGAGCTTCATACGCCAGTCGTTGGAGGTATGGAATCAGGGTTTAGCCATCTCCCCTAGACTGTCATCCAATGGACAGTCAACCCGGTGAAGAGCGCCGGGCATCCGCTTTTGCCCTCTCACTTTGGTGAAAAAACACTATATACTACTGTAACAACAGAAGACAAGGGCCAGGCAACAGATCATTTATTAAGGAAAGTCAACACATATTTATAGATTTTAATGTACATTATTGTAGATTATTGTTAGTAGCAAATACAGTCTTTTGATTGGTTGTTTCTTACAGAAAGTTAACCTTGCATCTCTTTGTGGCTGTGTCAGATCATCTATATGCTAACTGTATCCGCCTACGCAAAGTCTGCTGTCCATCTTTGACCTTGTTTTCACATGACTAATATTTGAGACATAAACATTGACGTCAATTACTGTCTACCAATTTGGCTAGCAGCCATCTCTCACCACATTACTCGCAACATTTTTATCAGTAGCACCCGCCATAATAGTAATAATAATCGTAGAATTCGACAGTTGTATGGGTATGGGTATTTTGTGAACTAAGCCTGAATATTCTTTATGAGTTGCACTATCATACTAATGAGTAATTATGTGATCTCAATATGAGTAAGTCAATTGAATTATTACTATGTCTCAGTTAATGTAAAAGGAGAGCTGTCGAAATAAGTAGTCCGGTCCACTAAGACCCAGAAGTAAACAGCACGAGCTTATTCGGTATTCAGAAAAAGTCAGTTACTCTCATTGCATTATAAACAAACACCGTTACACTACCTTACTAAGTAACGAATATACACAGGATGTCGCACAATCATATTACTATTCCATTTTTCGGAATCCACAAATTGTCGAGATTTATGTTAAGTCCTAGAGAAAATGTGTCTTCTCAACTGATTCTTCATCTTGTAACACAAAATTTAGATTTAAATTGCTTCTGATTTTCAAAGAGTTTAGAGAGGAAGGTTTGAAATAATTCATGGGAAAACGACTTGTAAACGTAAACTCAGAATCTTGCGTTGAGTACACTGATTGTAGTGGGTTGTTCTTTAACTTAAATCTAAGCAAGCTACTCACTGTCTGTAGTGTTTCAGAATCTTTATAGTATCATTTTGATTTACTAAATTCCACTTTTTGGTCGAAAATTAGCATAGCGAATTTGTTTAGTGTTCAGGATGTGTCAAGTGGTGTGCTACATAGACTTAAATGTGGAACAGGGAATGATCACCTGTCTTAATAATAATAATGATAGACTACCTACCAGAAATATGATTTGTAGTCTTATTGTTTATGTAAAATCTTAAAAAAAAACTATGGTGGCGCCACCAACTATGCTCAAAGAAGGTAACTGGTTTCATAACATGATTAAGGCAGCCGAATTGAAAATTAACTGCTATCGAATATTTTATCCAGAGAAACTGGGATCTGAAAGCAAGAGCTTACAACACCTACGGTATTATAGGAAAATATTTTTAACGCAATACTATGGATGTATACATAAGAAATGTCTTAATTTGATGAACGACGTCCTCTACTATTTTTAAGATGATTTACCTAACTTCCATCTGATCTACATGAAAATACGTCTATGGAAGCCATGTTTGCTGTGTGGGGTAGTTATTAAACTGAACTCTAAACATGCTTGCAGTTTCATATCCTCTTATTCCAAGAGACGCGAAGCTATTGGTTCATCAAGGTTTTGTACTATTAGGCTTCAGAAGTATCGCTTCACTTATCTTTGCATTTCACTGCCTTCTGTGTATTTCGAAGTGATCAGACTCAAGCAAATATTTAAAAGTTAAAACAGTAAATATTATTATGGACAGTAGTAATCTTTTGAGTTTTGTAGGCTTCAAACAGATATTTGGAACTGTGACTGACTGACTGGTTTCAACATAGAACTTTGCACCGATGTGCAGCAGTTCGAGTCGCCACACTCCCTCCATGTAGCACACAAAGCAAGAGAAGAGAGTAAAAAGAAATGCAAAATAGAGACAGTAAACAGAGATATGAAGCAAAAAGAATAGTAATGTCGAAGAACTATATAGTTTTATTAGGTATTATAAGTCACAAGGAGTGAATGCATCTGCGCCAGCCATTGAGAACGATTTTGAGCCATATCTCTAATTGTCTTCAGCCCTCATTGGTCTCTACAGTCCCGAGGACCTTAACCACAAAGTCTACACCTTCCTACGTGGCCTAAACTAAATTTGGAACTGTAGTAGGTAAAGAAGGATTTCAACAAAACGTGTATTTAAGTAAACTCATTGTTTTTTGATTGCACACTAGTCAGTAACTAGTTTAATGTGTCTAGTCCTATCTTCGGTGCAGACTGAATTCTATCAGTCATGGTTGCAATGTGGCCACCATGCTAGATGGCTCGCCATTATGGTGCACTATGAATTGTTGGTATTAGATAGTTGGATGCAATCGGCAGGAAGCCTTGCAAGCATGACTGATAGAATTCAGTCTGCACCGAAGATAGGACTAGACACATTACACTAGTCATTGACTAGTGTGCAATCAAAAATATCCAATACAGTCCTACAGGAGGTCAGTCGCAAGCCTGAATAGCTCAGTGGTAACGTCTCTGACTGAAGCACTGGGTGACGCTGGTTCGAATCTCAGAAGGGACATCAGTTCCTTCAAGGTTGCAGATACACCTTGCTGATGAGTGCCAACTAGCACGAAACCTAGGTCCAAGGCTTCCTGTCAATTATTATTATTGTATCCTTTAATTCCTACAGGAACATAGGGCTTCAGCTGTGCGTCTCCATTGCGTTCTGTTCTCTGCTAGAGTCTTCACCTGGCTCCAAGTCTGCCCACACGTTTTCATCTCCTCTTCACATGACCTCCTCCAAGTCACCCACCCCCACACTGACGACCAACTCGCCGCTTCCCTTTCGGGTTCCACTCGAGCGATGGCTTGTCTAGTGATGTCACTTGATGCATTGTTTCCTCAGAGTATGGCCAATCCATCTCCATTTCTTCCTGCCTATTTGTTTCACAATCGGTTCCTGGTGGGTTGGTTCGCTCATTGCCAGAGATCTCTGTTGGTGATCTTTTCTGGTCGGCCATGTGATCTTGAGTATTGAGCGAAGACAACTGTTAATGAAGGTCTGTAGTTTGTTTGAGATGCTCTTTATGACGCGCAGTGCAAGTCTCTGATCCGTATAGTAGCACTGACTGACTTCACATTTGAGTTGAAAATCCGGATCTTATTTTTGATGCTGAGTGCTGTTGACCTCCACACAGACTTGAGA